GAAGGATGCTAAAATTAGCTAATGAATATGACTATTAAAAATCAGAAAAATGCATTTTCAGATAAAATGACTAATTGCCTAGAAAAATCCCAGAATTATATAACAAGCTATTTTGACTGAATTCAACCAAGTTGCTAGAGTAAAATAAACATAAATTAACTGCTCATTATTGATGAAGAATGTACCTAAGGAAATATAATAGAAATTTTTTAAAAAGCAATTCATAGAAGCATTTTCTTCAATAAAGAAATAAACTTTAAGTATATAATACCTAAATGAAAAAAAAAATCTCACTTTACTGAAGGACATAAAATTCTGAATTAATGAAGATACATATTCTGTTCTGGACAGAATGACTTCATATTTTTAAAAATATTAATCCTTCTTACACATTAATCTAGAAAAATCAATCCAACACTAATCAAAATCCCAAGGGAACTTTTCTGGCCTTTGGTGAGCCTTATATTAAACAAACAAACAAAATGGATGGAAGATAATTTTTCGAATCAAAAGAACAAATGGGCACTTGACCTATCATATAACACTGCATTAATCTCAAGTTTTCAGGAAGAGAAAAATCATGGAAAACTTGTCAGCACCACTTCCTGAGACCATAACACTGGAGAAGGGGTGGAAACAGAGACAGAAGGGCTTAGCTGAGGTACATTAAATGTGACTCCCATTAAGTCTCTAAGTGGAGATGGACAGACAGCTAGATGTTATTATACTATACTTCACTATTTTAAAATACTTTCATTTCCTCTTAAAATTAGTATACTTCTATCTCCTGCAAGAATGCGAAGCCTCTGGTACTTCTCCATTGTTGGAATGGCGTCTTCACTTTCCCTGAATACGTCATGAACACTACCTTGGCCTCTGAGGTCACATAGGCTATCACCCAAATTGGCTTCACAGCAATTCTGACCTCTTCTCCACTCAGGAAGAGCTTGAGGTTCATGAAGTCTGTTTCCACCCCAGGATCTCTCCTCACCTCCAACAACACTCTTATGATCTTAATCATATGCTCTCTTCCATTTTAAACATTCAAATCTATTTCTCAGACTCTATAAACCCACTATGAGATTCTACTTGAATTTCCACTCATGAATACAAAAATAACGCATTATTTCTAATATAACTTGTTTTCTATAAGTACGTGATCCAAACCTAAAATGCTAGAGTAAATAAGTTTTATCCAGATTAAATGAACAGGACTCCACTGTCCATCTGGAGTACCAAGCCAGCAATATGTGAACGACAACATGCAGGTAAGTTGTGAAGAGAAAGTGCCAAGAGAGAGGGCAATGATGGCCCATCAGAACTCATAAGACAGCCACCCCATGGGACACATGAGACCTATCCAAGGCAGCACTTCCCAGAAAGGGCAATCAGGCAACTGGAAAGGAAAACCATGCCTTATCCCCGTAATTGTCCTCACTTATTTCCATATATGCTCATTCAGCATGAGGTAGAAAACTGGTTTTTAGTAAATAAAGTATGTGAGCTCAACCAACCAGGGCAGAATGAGAACTCATGTATCAACATGCAAATACACATTATCACAAATGCACATGTGAGCAAACACTCAACAATATGGCCAAGCATGCCATATAAAATTGAATGTATACTGTGAAGCAATCTGAATTAAGAAACTAGTGTTGTTGCCACCGCCATTTATTTATCTAGTTCATAAGTATAGAACACTACAGTAGTGCTGGAAATGCAAAGAAATCCCTGCCCTTAAGGGGCTTACAATCTTATTAGGAAAATAACAGGCACATAAAATGTTGGACTTTAGAAAGCTTATGCTAACAAATGCCATAAGAATTCAGAAGACAGTATAGTGTAAGAAGACAGCGTAGTCCCCAAACCCAGATCTAGTCCCAAGATGGTCAGTTAACTTCTCTGGGTTTATTACCTCAGCTGCAAAATGAAGTAGTGAGAATGAGGCTGTCTGCATTTGTTTGCATCATGATTCTGATTAAAAGCTGAGGAAAGGTCTATGGAGTAGGTGGCACCTGAACTGGACACAGAAAGAAGACAGAAGGCAATTCCAAAAAGGACAGGGGGCTGAGGTAGGCGTAAACATGGGTTTGGAGGGGAAGACAAGCGTCATAAGGAAGAAGGGAGGGAGGTAAAGGGTGGCCATGGTAGCCCTCAGGCACTACTCACAGAGAAATTAGCTGTATTCCTCACACTTACATCTGTCAGTTATAGTACATAATTCCAGAGAGTAGGAAATACCAAAGAATGGCGGCATTTTATCAGACATTTCACTCAATTTCCATAAAATAATTTACCATTATACCTCTATGACATCATTGAACTGTTCCAATTGTCAAAATGTAAGTCAAAGTTTATATTCTTAGTGAACATAACTAAATCTCTTAATTCAAGAGGACATTTGCTATGAATTATCTCAATAATTCCAACATTTGTTTTCTATGTTCCATTTACGGTGGAAATAAAAATGAGTAAGATTAGCTTCCTGCCCTGAAAGAGTCCGCATCCTGGTAGGTAAGGCAAACATCCACTGTGCCTACCCAGAATGTCCTGTGATGCACATGATCAACGTATGACCACCCGGCTAGATTCCAGAAGACAGATTCATCCCTTCTGAAGGAGCTTTGCAAGGGCTCAGGGGAGAGAGGTCGATGGCTCAAGGAGAAATCAATCTGCCAAGGAGAAGGTGTTTGTGGGCAGCAGAGGGCACAGAGCTTCCAACAGGGACCGTGGTGGCCAGGGCCTAGCACGGCATAGTGCAGCTGGAGCAGAGTGCACAGTGCGAAACAAGTGATATGGAAGCCTGGATTTAGTCCTAGAATGGGAGACACTGCTTGCTACCTTTAACCATCTACAGGAAAGTGAGCAGTGATGCCATAAGCTCTTCTCAGCATAATTATACTGTTCAGCCCTAGCCAGTTTGACTTAGTAGATAGAGCACCAAGCCTATAGAATAAAGGGTCTAGGTTTGGTTCCAGTCAAGGGCACATGTGAGGGTTGCGAGTTCGTCCCCAGTAGGAGGAATGTAGGAGGCAGCCGATCAATTATTTTTCTCTCATCATTGATGTTTTTCTCTCTCTCTTTCCCTTCCTCTCTGAAATCAACAAAAATATATATATTTTTTTAAAAATTACACTGTTCAGGAAACCCTCTAACCCAAATTCTCCTCTCTTCTTCCTTCCCCCATTCTTTCCTTTTATGATCAGCAAGTTTTCAAAGTGGAGCTGGAACATGAAAGACATAAGGGAGGAGCCAACGAATAGGACTAGAAATGCACACATTTGGCTAATCAAGTTACCACAGGTAATGGTAATTGTTTTGTACAAGTCTGCAGATGAGGAAAACAAAATTTTTTTTCAGGAGTTTTCTAAAGGCACCCAAAACACACCAAAATGTTGGAGAATCTCACTTAATGAGGGGGGGGGGAGGGATATTTAGAACTCTGGCAGAAGACTGCATTTCTGAAACCATTTCCCATTAAATATCAGTGTTACAAAAACAATACCATACAATCTCAACGCCTATCTTCACACAATTAAGATCTGACCAAACTTGCATTGCTTGGCTTAAAAAATAAAAAAATACAATGTGTAATTCAAAGTCTTAGGTTTGCAGCTACTACCAAAATACACCAATACATGAATAAACTGTCCAGTGAAGAACATGCAGTAAAAGGTAGATGGAAATATTCATCTCTTTAGGGTAGATTCTAAATTCCAATTTCTGATAATATTATAGAACCAATTCTATGAAAGTAACACCTTCTTGCAATTTCATTTCATAATGAAGAAAATAACTGTGTATTTTATTTAACATTCATTCTTAAATTACAGTTATGCCAAAAACAATCAGCTTCTAATGAAAGAATCCTTAGCATAACTCTCAAAACATGCCTATACATTTAGTCGAATCTTCTACATTTCTAAATAAATTACATGCATGATATACATTAACCAATAAAGAATACCAATATGAGAATTCAGGACATTTATTTTTTGCATGGAGATTTAACTACTGTATAACACACACAGCACACACACACACAAAACAAACCCATAAAGCAACGGTGTGTAGTAGGTAGTGAGAGAACCCTAAAATAAGCATATTTTAAGTGCCTGCAAACAGGCTTTTTTTTTTTTTTAGGCAACAAAATATTTTCAGTCCTTGACATCTTCTCACACTTACCTAGCACCACAGATGCAAGGACTTCTGGTAAACGTGTATAACCTCATGCTTAAAACCTAAAGCATGCATTGAGTAGAATTTATACATAATGATCTACTCTACTAAGTATGCAATACATACTTCTAACATTTTATACATTAAATTACCCTGCAGCATTTAAAAAATTTTTAACATTTATGCCAAACAATTCTTGAACAATTTTTCAAGGATCACCTCTAGGCTGATTACACAGGCATTGGTTTGGTTAAATGGAAAAATGGCAGCAGCCTCAAGGTTCACACAGAATGAAAATGATAGATGTGCATGTCAGTCCATGTAAAAAATACATATATACACAGATGGCACAAAGATTTGTGCAGTTGGAATCACCAGTGCAAATGCATGCATTTGAGGTACTTATTTTTCGCATGGTCAGGTATAATTATGCATAGTCATGTTCCTCAAGTGCTAAATATTTCAGACCTGATTGAATGAAAAACTGTAAGAAGAGTAAATATGAAATATTTATACAATTAATTTCAAAGTGCTATGCTTTTAATGGACATTTGTTTAACATTATCCATTTACATATATAGTTTAAAATATTTACCTACCAATACATTTTCTCATTGTAAAGAGGCTGACTGGTAATTATACCTGGCCAAGTGATTTAAATAGCATACTTGAAATTCTAGCAAGAACTGTAGTGAAACAGTAAAATACTCCATTATTGCTTCATTGGACTGAGAAACTAAAAGGCATAAACAATGCTCATGAAAAGTGAATACCCACAACAGCAGTGCATGCCCTCAGATGGCCTCTGCCCCATAAAACTAAGCACTGTCCATGCTATCAATGCCGTTGGCATCCACCTCGATACCAGGCTCCTCACACAAAGAAGAGGGAGCAAAATGGCTAACTGTGGGACACAAACAGCTCTTAAGCTCTGGCAATTCTTGCTTCAGGCGTTCCAACTGCTCCACTTGGAATATATTTGGCTGTTCAGGCATCCAATCATATATCCTATGATGAAACAAACACAAAACACATAAAATAGGGTAATGTGTGTTTATTTAAGACCAGTCTGACATAACTTTTTTTTAGAAGAATTTGTTTACAGGATGCCTAGTACATTCATATTACAAGAATCTTTTTTTAAAAAAAAGGATGTTTAAGCACTAGTTTGACAGGGTGTCTCCCAAACATGTATATACACTTTAACAGCTGATAGTGCAAACTTTAAAATTAAATGTATTTTAATAAACACTATTTTGTAATTATTCAAAACATGTATATACATTTTTGGGGGATACCCAATATATAAAAGTATTTCTCTTCTCCCCTTTCTGATAATCCAGAATAGCAGCATTTCCTTTTGTACCCTGTGTGCAAAAGAGCTGATTAAAAGGCAACTGAATCAGAAAATGAAATCTGTAGTTTACTGGTGATTCTTCAATTATCTTCTCTCCAAGTCAATCAATTGGCAATGTCTTATTTTTTAGAGGCAGAGCTGAAATTAATACCCAATTCTGTCTTCAAATTACAAAGACCAAGATGAGAACTTCTCACCCAGGTGAGAACCATGCTAAAGTCGTGCAATATTGGCAGATATACCCAGTCACTAGCACAGAAAAGCCTAAGGTGATGGTGGCAGCACTCTCACTGCAGATCAGCAGAGAGCATGGATGTGCATGCCTAAACGTGAAAGACAGGCAACTTACGAGAGTCACCACAAGACAATCTTAATGATTTCACAGTGGGAGAAAAGTTTCATAAAAACTAGAGACACAGCAATAAACTTTTGGTAGCTGGAAAATAGCTGTAGATGAATAATAAAGTATAATAAAGTGTTTCAATTAACAGGATAGAAAAGGCCAAATCACAAGCCAGTAATGGGAAAAATGCAAAGGTTGAGTTAAAAGCACCAAATTTCTCCAGCACTGGGAGTGAAAGGGAAAGGAGCTGAAGCAAGGAGGGTGAAGACTTTGAGCAGCAGCAAGTTAAATCCCTCCTAACTCCCTGTCCTGAAACCGCCCCTCCCCAACACTAACAAACGTTATTTCAAGTATTAAACAGGAAATCTCTTGGAATAGGGGACTCAACCAAGTGAGGGATTGGACATTTTACAAAACCTCCAGCAGCAGCAGGGAATTAGGGAATATATATATATTAGGGAGTATATATATATACTCTCTCTCTCAATGCTACACAGACATACCCTCCCTTCCCCAGCTGTCTGACCTCACTTGGCTCCAAGAACCCTAGTAGCCAGGCCCACATCCTCTATGTAGATACAGATTCTTCTAGGAACAATCTGATAAGCCAAAAAGTAAATTTCTAAATTTAGACCTCTGATATCACTAGATTTAGATAGTGAAATCCAAGTTAACACACTCCAGCCTCCAACAAGCTTTTTACATGCCAATTTCTTAGGAGAAGCAGCCAAAATTTTGCAGACATCTAAAGAAAATTTCTAGCAGGTGAGTAAAAGAGAAGAAACTTCCAAGAAAACAAACAAAAAGTTCTGCTTTCAGAGAAATAGTACTTTCATAAAATGAAAACAGGGTGTTACACATACAGAAAAAAAGAGCATTAGGGAAAAAAGACAGTCCTTGAAAATGGAAAACACAACAGCAGATGTGAAAAACCTGAATAGAATGGATAAAAGCTAAGGCTGCAGAAATCTTTCCAAGTGGAGCAAAAAGACAAAGGTAAAAAAACAAAACAAAACAAAACCAAAAATGGAAGGGACAAAAATCCAAGAAGCAAGTCATGAAACCTTTTGCATTTTCAACAGACTAAAAGGGCTCTAACAACTGCCCAGCACAGTGGGTGAAACTAGACCCATAAGACAAGTTTTAGAACCCTGGTGATAAAAAGAAACGCTGGAAACAAAGAAACCATATTTGTGGGAACAGGAATCAACATGGTTTATTGATCCTCAACAGCAACATTGGACTTATGAAGGTAACAGAGAATTATTTCTAAAATTCTAAGGAAATGATTTCTAACATGGAGTTTTATGCCTGGCCACAATGCTTACAAAATCATTTAATCTCTATGTGCACTGTGTTACTATGTAAAATACATATTTAATTGGGTTGGGGTCAAAAAGGTTTCCAAGTCGTTGCCCTAAAGAAAATTTACAAATGTATTCTAGACCCGGTCACCATTATTTACAGCAAATGCTGTAATAGCAGAGACTAGGCAACCACCAAAATGAGAACCAAAATGTTCTTAAATAGAATAAATTATAGTAGACACATACAACCATAAATGTTCTACAGCCATGAAGAAAGGCAGATTATAGCTACATGCAACAAAATACAAATAAAGATCAAAGTCATGCAAACTAAATGGTATATTGTTTAGCAATAGAATTTAAAAAAATGTTAATGAGAATAATAATTTGATAAGCAGTTATATGTAAGGGAGGAGATAAAGGAACAGAGTTAGAAAGAGGCTCATGGGGGACTTCACAATTTAATGATAATGTTCTTTAAATGTGTTAGTGTATTTTTTAAATTATTTGAGCATAGTAATTTTTTTTTTTTTAATAAAAAGAGGGACACTGCCAAATTTACTCTACAAAGCAAGTATTATCACCACACCAAAAATCAAACCATTAGAGAAAGGTAAATAAAGGCCATCTCTGTCATTATCATAAATGCAAAAATTCCAAATATCAGAAAATCAAACGTACCAGTTTATATGATAATATATCATAAAACCATGATGAAATGGAAATCTACTGTGTGTTAATCCCTTTGTAAAAGAAGAGAACAAATTAGTTTCTGATTAACTAAAATACCCATCCTTATTATAATTCTCCCCAATGTAAAATGAAAGACTATGAATCAATAATCATTCAAAACCTCCTATATGTTTAAATTTGATAATGGAAAAATTATAGCATAAGCACATTAAGTACCAGAAGAAACAGCTAAAAAAAAAAAAATTACAGCATAGGGACTCAGCTAGAGACAATGAAAGGGACAGGTGTAGGGGACTGCTTCTTTTATTGATGGATTAATTGATTTGAGAGAAACATCAATTTGTTGTACCACTTATTTATGCATTCAATGGCTGATTCTTGTATGTGCCTAGACCAGGGATCGAACCAGAAACCTTGGAGTATCAGATGATACTCTAACTGGCTAAGCTACCCGACCAAGGCCTGCTGCTTTATATATATATATATATCGAGGCACTGGCCAGTGAGAAGCTATATATATATATATATATATATATATATATATATATATATATATATGCTTTATATGCTTTGTATGAATACATACACAAATATATATATATATGGTTTATGTGAATACATACACACAAATACAGTGTGTATATATTGCTTTGAGTAAAAATGAAAAAAAAATTTTGAGGATAAAAACCAGTTCCAACACAATCCACTTTACCTGTCATGAGACGCTACTAAGAGCCCAGTGCTGGATGTCTCCTCAAAACCCTCCACACCTTCAACACATTCCTGTCCTGATTCATGTTCTAGCTTCTGCCTAAAATGCCTACCCTGTCAAAACAATTTAACCACACCCCAAATCCATCTCAATGCTTCCTCTTTAAAATTATTTTTATTGACCTCGGGCCAGGAAGAACTCATTTTCTTTAGGGCTATTTATATCGCATAGCATCTTCCTGTTCTCAAGTACATGTCAGTATTTGACTCCAAACAAGTAAGGCCCTTGAGTTGATGGGTCTGCCTAAAATGTGTATACCCTACAAAGTTATACATGATATAACCTCACAATACATTTTCTTGCCTGAAAATAATTACAATCATTCCTTCTTCTTCCTCCTCAAAGAAACAAAATCTTCAAATTTTTGCTAAAGCAAACACTTCCTTCAAATTGTAGACTTACAATTTTATTTTACCTTTAATTAGCTGGATATATTTATTAAAAGGACCTATGAAATCTGTTGCTTAAAGCAAAATTAACCAAGTAGTTAAGAAGGCACACATTATCTGGGCTACAATTTTAAAACCAGACTCATTCAGACACAATGGTTAAAAAAAAAAAAAAAGTTTTATTAAGAAAGTGATATAACTTTATAGGACAAGCAGTAATATGAACTAAATCCAAGGAAGGTATTTTTTAAAGCAGGCCTGGTAAGAAGTTCATCACTTACTCCTTGCATGATGCTGCGCAAGTATGAGCAAGCGGAGTAAATAACATCCTTTCCAACTCCACATGTCTTTATACTAAGAAACCCTTTCGTTTCTCAGATTAGCAACTCAAACTTACATCTCAGGGAACTTATAAAAAAAGAAAATAAAAATATTTGTTCAACAAATATTTGAAGTCTACTCTGTATCAGATATTGTTCTAACCTCTGAAGATGCAGCAATGAAGAAAACAGGCAGAGTCTTGCTCTCATGAGCTTATGTTTGTGTTGGGTATACTGGTGTGGGGGAAGCCAGGCAGAAAATAAACAAGTAAAATATTATGTCAAGCCGAAACCGGTTTGGCTCAGGGGTAGAGCGTAGGTCTGAGGACTGAAAGGTCCTGGGTTCGATTCCAGTCAAGGGCATGTACCTTGGTTGCGGGCACATCCCCAGTAGGGGGTAAGAGGCAGCTGGTCGATGTTTCTCTCATTGACGTTTCTAGCTCTCTATCCCTCTCCCTTCCTCTCTGTAAAATATCAATAAAATATATTAAAATTATATATATTATGTCAGATGGTGGAAAATGCTATGGAGAAAAGTCAAAGTTTGCTGTGAATGGTGGTTGTTATCTGAATTAGGATATTCAGGGAAGGCTTTACTGAGACACTGACATTGGGGGGTGGCGGGGAGGAAAGGACCCGGAATTTTACTTCCAGGTTTTAAGCAGTAACATGATCTGACCCAGATTTAACAGGCGCCCTCTGGCTGTTGTGCTGAAGACAGACAGCAAGAGGTTTGGGTGGAGGCACTGGCCAGTGAGAAGGCTCTCTCAATAATGCATGTTGGAAATGAGGTAGCTTGCAAGTGACAACAGTAAACATGGTGAGTTGATCGATTCAGGATATATTTGAAGATAAAATCAACATGATTTTGTTTGACTGGATTTAGGATATAAGATAAAGAACAGAATCATGAAAGACTCTAAAGATTTGGCCTGAGAAACTGGAAAGACAGAGTTGTTATTTATACTGAAATCAGTTAAATTTATTTAACCGGGGGTGGGGAGGAGAGGGAGGGGAGGAGGGTGCGTGCAGGAGGCAGCCAATCAATAATTCTCTCATCATTTATGTTTCTCTTTCTCCCTCTCCCTTCCTCTCTCAAATCAATAAAAAAATATTTATATATAAAAAGTTTCAATAGAAGTCAAGGGAAAGATCTGAGTTGGAGATATAAAAATTTAGGAATATATAAAGGTACGAAAAGCCACAGAATTGGATAAGATCATTAAGTTGGTGTATACCGAAGTGGTCTGAGGCAAAAAGCCACCCTCACTCTCAAGGGAACTTAGAGCCCAGTCACCAGAATAAACTTCCCATGTGATTGCGGTCAATTCCAAGTATAAAAAATTCAATTTACAAATGTTAAGATAAATCTCAGGCTGAACTACTTAATTTTAACTTAACTAAGTTTAATAGTATTTATAATGTTATAAAGTGAAAGCTACTTTTTTGCTAACAGTTCATGAAAGTTTTTCATGAAAAACAAATACCTATCATAAATTAGACCATTAACTCCAAATTCCTTCAATTTCTTCCTGTTTTCCGGGTCGTTGGTATCATCACCCCAGCAGAATATGACTAGTCCCTTAGCTTTTGCCTCTTGAATGTAGGATGGGTTTCTGAGCAGATCTTCAGTATGTGCATTTATCCCCTAATGGAAGAAAAATAAGTTACTCATGAAAAAGTAACTTGCTGATTGCAAATGCTAAATGGTCATATTCTAAATCAGTGTTCTCCAAAGTTGAGCAGGCAGGAAAAGACAATGTACAATTTTTTCTTACACAACTTATATTATCAAGCAAGTGTACAGTCCAGCCATTTTAGACAAATCATAAAATCCACTCAATTACAAAACTTACTTAATTTAGGCATTCAAGGAAATATATATATATGTATATATTTTGTTCAAGTAATTGCTTTTGATTCTGAGATCTAATACTCTCATTTTTAAGTAGAACTATATAGGTCAAAGCTAACCAATTAGATGTGTAATGGAACATGAAACTTTATTTATTTCTGCTCTATAACACATTTAAAAAAAATGAAAATTAAGAAATTCAAACATAACTTACCAGCAGATTTTCAAACTGTGCAAAACTCATTGCAATAGCAGTTGTTCGTGATCTGAGGTCCATGAGTTCAGGGTAAATATCAGACTTTCCTTGAGTCAAAAATAATATGGGATATTTGTTCTGCTTGTGCCGAACCCTAAAAAAGACAATTTAAAAAATACTTTTCATTGGGATAATTATAATATATTGTTTTGAAACTTTAGAAAATATATAAAGAATCCACCTCCCCCCCCCAAAAAATAGCATAATCCCATTATTGAGATATAATCAACATTAACATGTACATATTGTCTTTCAGCCAAAAAAAAAAAAAAAAAAAAACATTTAAAAAAAAATTTTTCTATACAAGAGCTCAGAAATGGGCAACAAGAAAGCCTTTAAGGGCTTATAATTTGGTAAGGAAGATGCTACATGCAAATCAGGGTATGATGTATTGACCTTAGGACCCAGTGGCTATGGAGTTTATAGGAGTGAAGGACATCCCAGTAGGTAGTCCTGAAGGGAAGTGAGAATATATATAACTTTTCTGAAAGGATAAATCAAGGGTAAAATCTGAGCACTTCCTCACCTCCAACCATAATCTTTATACACTACATCCTATCTACAGTAGAAGAGTATATGAGGGGGGAAAAATGAATATTACTCACATTGTGCAAATATCTGCATCAAATGAAGAAAACACTATTCTTCTCTTTCCAGAATTTTCTAAGACAGTTTTTAAAATGATATCCAAAAACCGATTCATGTCAAAATATGTTGATAAGTTACCATCCCACATTCCATCCTATGTAGAAGAAGCAAATAGGAAAACAAAGGCCATTAACTACTCTGGAATCAGTGCTAGAAAAAAAAAAAATCTTGAGAACACCTAGTCCAACTCTCAGTTTACAGATGAGAAAAGCAAAGACCTGAAAGATCAAATGATGTGCTCATGAACATACCGCTACTTGGCAACAGAGCAGCCATCATAATTCAGGTATAGAGACACTTATATGCAAAGCATTATACCATTAATAGACTTTTGTTTTAATAAGATAAATAAAAATGAAAACTATGGAAATTATAAATCTGCTGTGACTTTTAAAATAGTTTTATATATCCTTCATAAACTTTAGGACAAAAGGGCTCCACTGTATTTGGTAACTCACGAGTAAACAACAACAAACCCTGGTAAATATCAATAACTAAATTTCTCATTCTTTGGATCTTAGGACTATCAAGTAGCCTCATCTGATAAATTTAATAGTATTCTCCTCGACCAGAATATAGGTTACAGGAAGGCAAGGCTTTATTCTTTCACTACTTGATCCCAGCACTCAGAAAATACCTGGCCTTTAACAGCTTTTCAATATATAACTATTGAACAAAAACAATGACTAAATCTGGGAGTGATTTAAAACACATTTGCAAAAATTTTCCTGGTTAATTATTACTAGCTACTAGCACTTAATAGAAACTGCTTAGGACATTATTATGCGTTTAGATTGAGAAGATAAAGTAAAAACTAATCAAAGTTATAGAGTTCTGACTGTCCAGTGTTTTAATTGTTCACTTATGAGCATACCCAGAAACCACCAATATAAATGCACGAGACACATGAATATGGAAATTTCTACTATAATACTTTTAAGTAGCCACAAATCAGTATAAGCATAAAATATGCTTTATTGCCTGGCCAGTGTGTTTTTTGAGCATCACCCCATGAACGAGGAGGGCATGGTTCAGTTCCCAGTCATGGCATAAGCTCCAGTAAGGGGTGTGTGGCAGGCAGCTGATCAGTGATTCTCATCATTAATATTTGTTTATCTTTCCCTTACTCTCTCTGAAATCATGAAAAACATTTAAAAATAAATAAATAAAATATGCTTTATTAAAAAGGTCTAAAAGCACTGTGCTTACTGGAAGAAATCACAGTAAGTTTTCGGTTTCACTTACTCCATTAAAGCAAAGATAGGAATGAATGTGTTTAAAAAACAGAGGGAAAGGGAAAGAAGAGAATACAAAACAAATTACTTACCCTTTGTTGGCAGATCCACTTTATTTCTATGTTATACCCCACATCTTCTGGCAAAGACTCTAAAACCTAGAGTTTTGTTTGTTGGTGGTGAATTTTGTTTTATTTTTGGTGAAATGAATGGTAGAATAAGAGGAAAAAAGGGAAACAAAATTATTTTAAAAAGCAATCTGTAAGAAAACATATTGCTAGCAAGAGTAAAATGCTTTCAGCATTAAATCACTAGCTTTTCTCATATTCAACTGACAATCTCACTGATTAAGAGAGTCAAAAGAAATTAAACAGCAAAAGCAATAGTCCTAGGTAGTATTCCCAATAACTGATCGCTACTACCTCAAAGATGGATTCTTAACCTAAAATTCTTCTCACTGTTACTACTGGACATCCAAAGTGAACCGCAATAAACTTATACGACCTCAATGATTTACGAAAATTATTTGTTGTGTTTTCTGAATTTTATCCAAGTATGTCAATATACTAATACTAAGGTATGGTTATATGAAAACATATGGTTATATGTTTCCTAACTTGTTTGGAAGGTGGTGATGCTTAACAATATCATGCTGATAACTCCCTGAAAAGATGTTATCTCCAAATGAAAGATTATGCCAAGGCTCATAAATTAAGGTTATGAATATATAAATGAACAAATAATATGGTGTCAACTTATTTAAACTAAGTTATCTAGACATTTTTCAATAAGACCATTTTGGCAGCATAAGTAAAAAATAAAATGGAAATTATGAAGCCAGGTTATTACCCTACAAAGAGCTTACTTGATTAGTCTTCAAACATGAAGGCTGGGTAAACACAGAAACATGTACAGGGCAAAATAAATTTGAAGCAGATTGTGTTTTTAACTTCAATTTATTTTACAAGTTTAGAAACCACTTAACATAGATAATAAGTATTATGTTTGATTTTATAACAGCAAATAAAGCACACTAAAAAAACAATGTAATAGTAAGAACATAGCTTGGGAAGCCTGGTGACCTGGGAACTAGCCCTCTGATACTAACCAGCTGAAAAGTACAGTACCTAAAATAGGTTGTACTCAATTTTGTGAGAGGCTTTTGACTCCCCCCCCCCCCCCCCCGCCTAATATCTTTAACAATATTAATTTAATATACCTGTCACTATTTTTTTTTAAATAGGTTTTTATTGATTTCAGAGAGAAAGGGAGAGGGAGAGATAGAAACATCAATGATGAGAGAGGATCACTGACTGGCTGCCTCTTGCATGCTGCCCACTGGGAATCAAGCCTACAACCCAGGCATGTGCCCTTGACCAGAACTGAACCTAGGACCCTTCAGTCCACAGGCTGGCTCTCTATCTACAGAGCCAAACCAGCTAGGGCACCTGTCACCTTTTTATTGGACCAACACAAAAATTTTTAAAAAGAAAAATAGTATATACTAATATATTAATAGTTCTGAGATTGTTAAACATCAAATTTGCAGAAAGATCCTTCTTTAGTCCTAGCCAATTTGGCTCAGTGGAGAGAGGGTGGGACTGCAAACTGAAGGGCCCCTCCCAGATCCTATTCTGGTCAGGGGCACATGCCTGGGTTGTGGGCTTGATTCCCAATTGGGAATATGCAGGAGGCAGCCAACCAAAGATTCTCTCTCATCACTGATGTTTCTATCTCTCTTCCCCTCTCCCTTCTCTCTAAAATCAATAAAAAATATATTGTTTTAAAAAAGATCCTTCTTTATACTGAGAAGACTGTATTTGGCCTTTTGGGGGCTTTGAAATGTCTCTGTGACCCCATTATTGTGATGTTAAAGTGAGTGAATAAATGTGTGTGTGTGTGTGTTGGACTTATTTGACTAAGCAAATATTGTCAAACCTTTCAGAAATAATTTTAAAAACTTTATTCCATTCTATGTAATCACAAGTTTTCTAAGAAATAAATTACTTCAGAATTTTGGAATAGAAAGATTTTACTTAGCTGGGCTTCAAAAATATCTGAAAAAATTGCCGAAAACAGTTTAGGAAATGAAGCCAATAGAATAAAAGGCAGACCCAGCATAGCCAAGGAGAGGGTCTGGTGCCCATATAGGCTTGCCGATACTATTAGATAGATTCTTGTATAAATTGTCTAGTTTTAAAATATTCATGCTAGTTTTTGTTATACTTTTTCAGAGTAAATTCTTTAAATCTGTGACTCATTTTATGTAGTGAGGGTCCTTATTTTCTTTGAATCTAAATTAGAATCTAATTTCTCTTCAAAAGTTAAAGAACAGTTAAATGCCTCTCTTATCATTACATCTCCCCCCTTTTACTTCTTGTTCCATTACTTCTTGTTCCATGCCCTCTTCTTCCTTTTTATATACAGAAATATGTGAATTTCCTATTCTATCAAATTAACCAACTGAGATCAGAATTTTTATTCATTTAAGCAGATAAGTTACTATCTTTTCTTTAAAGTAGCATAGGTACACCTCCATAATATATCTTCTCTATAATGCATCATTGATGACAAGTTTATATTAATACTAAAGGCCTAATGCACGAAAACCGTGCCAGAGTAGGCCCTTGCAGCCTCGGCTGCCTCACGTTCCCCCTCCCCCCTACTTGTTCTGGAAGGTCGTCTGGAAGATTGTTCTGGAAGGCTGTTCCGCTGTCCAGTCTAATTAGCATATTAGCTCTTTATTATATAGGATTGCCTTTGATATAACCATATTAGTACCCATTTAAGAGACTAAAATTAATTATTCAGATATAACAGAATTAATGAGATAGCCTTGCCCTAGTTTCCTAAGGAACTTACCATCTTAAGAGAAGGAAATGGCTGATTTTCAGATAAAGAATTTTCTTCCTCAACCACAGATTCTGAAAAATTGAAATTATAAAAACTCAGTAGATAAAAACAAACATTTTTATCACTAAGATCTCTTTCTAAATTTGTTGAAAAAAACAAAAAAAAAAAAACCAAAAAACATGCTAAAGTAATTATGAAATCCTTGCATATGTAGTGTTTAAAGGCTCTTATATTTATTATTTTTAACCATTAAACCCCTGGTTTTTTAAAATAAGCATCCTTTTTGAAGACTGGTATGCAACATTTAACAGAAACATCATAGTTTGTGATCCCAACAATAACTATTTTCTTAAAATAGTTGTAATACTTCTATTAAAAAGGATAGTCACAAGATGTGATTTGTTATTTCTTAATGGAATTAAGAGCTATGTCATCTTGCTAATACTATCTGAAATATCAAAATCATCTCAGAAGTTAGAAATTAAGAGAATCTATAACCACTAATGTACTTTGGTTACTACAACATTTAATCCAAAATAAGATTCCAGAGCAAAAAAAATTAATATCAAGCTTTCTTTAACAAAATCAAACAAACAAAAAAAAGGGGCTGCTTGGTGTGGCTGAGTGTCGACCTATAAACCAGGAGGTCATGGTTTGAATCCTGGTGAGGGCATTTGCTCAGATTGCAGGCTCAATTCCCATGGTGGGGTGTGTAGGAGGCACCCAATCAATGATTCTCTCTCATCGTTGATGTTTCTCTCTCTCTCTCTCTCTCCCTCTCTCTCCCTCTCTCCCTCCCTCCCTGCCTGAAATCAATGGTTTGAAATACATAAAAACATTTTCCCCACCCTATAAAGATTTACATTCTAGTTGAAGAGAAGGGCATAAACAAAAATAAAGGTTAACAAAAAGAAAAGGATACACTAAGCCTCAAATGAATGGTATAAACTATTATGTCCCATGGGAGGAGAAAGTAAAGTGGAATTACAAAGGGATTTTGTGGGCAAAACAAGCTTTGAGGAACCTGAGGCACAGTAAACTACTCAAGGTCACAATTGGTAAATATTAGGTAGAGCTGCCTTCATTTTCCTGGCTCCTATGCTTACTATATTCTCATTTTGTAATGTGAAGAATGTTGGAAATATTGAAAGGTACAAAATAAAGACTTCTAATCATAAAGGTAAGAAAACTCTTAAAAGTAAAAAATCATGGTTACTATATAATGATATATATGCACTTGAAGATTAATATATGTAAAGTTTTCATGTTTATAAAATTACTTTTAGATAGTACTGTATTATATTCATTAAAATGACCAACAGTGTGTCAAAAAGGATAAGGAAATATTGTATATATGCTAATTATGAAATGAAAACTATTTCCATATTTGTACATACCTTTTAGATCTTTAGATTTTAGTGCAGTCACATGAGTGAGCTAGAAAACGCACACAAAATGCAATCGTTAGAAAAAGCCTTAGTTTATGAAGAACTTTAACTTGAAAAGCTAGAGAAAACTATAAAATGTAGAACTATAAGTTTAATAAGAGTAAGCTCTAACCACTATATATATATATCACACACACACACATACATACACACACACACACACATACATACACACACACACACACATATACATACACACACACATAAAATATGTTCATACATACACATAAGATCATAATCAAATATCCAAGTAGGGAAGAATATAAAGATTCTTAAGTTAGGAAACTTATACTCAATCAACAATTTATTTAGGTATCCAATGAGAATAGAAAGAGGGATCATATAAGATTGCATGGAATAACAAAATATACAAAGATCTTACAAAGATCTTATGTCAGTAGACATAAGTATAAAACCAACAATAGCATAAAAGGCCAATTGTAAAGTAGTGAGTTATATAAAGAAAGGCTAAAGTAGAACAGAGGCAATCTAAAATTATGGCTGAGAAGGGTTGACAAACACTTACAGCCTAGCCCAGTGGTCGGCAAACTCATTAGTCAACAGAGCCAAATATCAACAGTACAAAGATTGAAATTTCTTTTGAGAGCCAAATTTTTTAAACTTAAACTTCTTCTAACGCCATTTCTTCAAAATAGACTCGCCCAGGCAGTGGTATTTTGTGGAAGAGCTACACTCAAAGAGCCACATGTTTGCCGACCATGGGCCTAGCCCTTGATGTATGCAAAAACCAAGGGTTTTCGTGAAAACAGAGAAGACAGATGGATTGGCATAAACCCATTCTTCCGAACAGAACAGAAAACCAAAGCATAGACTCTATGCATGCTTACTATATTATCTCCATGTGCAAAGAGAACATTACCATATACAGACAAGTACAGATAGTCTTAAAATAAAAGATTGTTTACATTTTATGTATTATTACTACCTTTAACAACTGGAGTTGGTCAAATGTTAATTCCTTTACTGGAATTTCAAATAATTCTACAGGATCAGCCTCAAATTTCTAAAGAAAAAGAAAAAAATAGGCCCAAGATTATTACTGAATGTTTACTCCAGAGGGGACTAATACCTTAATTCACTGAATGAGGAGAACAATTGTTTGATGACTACAGTGAACCCATGTAGAGGAGCCCTTCTTACCTAACACTACACCTCAGCTCTTAAATTCTGGCTTTTGATTTTAATGTAAGTGGTAGTGCTTGGAAGAAAGAAAACAGCTGGGAGCAAGCTAGAGTACTGAGACTCACTGAAAACAAAGCCAGTGGTTCAGTGATTTCCTCTATTTCCTGTCATCTTGTATATATTTTATTCACCATATAACTAAGCCACATGACTAGGCAATCAACATGCAGGTACTATGTAAGAATTAATTTCTGTCAATAAGCTTTTAACCTTTCCTAAACCTTTTAAACTTAAGTTTGGTTAAGAATAGCCACAGAAATCAATTATTAAAAATGTCTGATTAGCTATAAGTGTAATACTTAACAGGAACTTTATTATAAATGCTTTCCCCTTGAGCAAATGTTTTATTAGAAATACAAGGCTGGGCAAAAGTAGGTTTATAGTTGTAATACAAATAAATAATACATAATAAAAGAACAAACTGTTTTGCACACTCAAACTCACAACTGTAAAACTATGTTTGCACACCCCTATATATTAAAATCTATTACTTTTACACTTGTTTATATACATATGGTATGAGCTTGTACATGTATACAATTTTTCTGTGAGAATACATAAGAAATTATTAAGAGTAAAGGAATGTGGCCAAGGGAAAGGCAAATTTATATTCATGTCATAATCTTATAAACTACTGCTTTTATTGAAAAAAGACCAGCTTAAAAGTTAAAACTGAAAATATACACAATTTGCCGAGCCCGGTTTGGCTCAGTGGATAGAGTGTTGGTCTGCGGACTGAAAGGTCCAGGTTTGATTCCGGTAAAAAGCATGTACCTTGGTTGCGGGCACATCCCCAGTAGGGGGTGTGCAAGAGGCAGCTGGTCGGTGATTCTCTCTCATCGTTTCTAACTCTCTATCCCTCTCTCTTCCTCTCTGTAAAAAATCAATAAAATATATTAAAAACAAATGAAAATATACACAATTCATTATTTTCATTCTCCAATTAACTCATTAGATTCAAATTAAGAGCAAAACAAAGAAACTATTTTTTTAGAAGAAAAAAGAGCAAGACAAAATCTGATGATAAAGGGGAATCAATAATACTCTTCAACTAACTCTAATAATTTTTATTTATTTTTTATTTTTTAAAAAATTTTTATTGTTGGATTACATATGTTCCCATTTACCTCCCCCAGCCCCTCGATCCCATCTAGTACTAATAGATTTTTAGAAATTAGAACTAGATTCATTAGTTTCCCACAGCAAAAACAACCTGCTCCATTTCTATTACATTATTCTACTTCTGTCATCTAACGGGTGCATCTCCTAATACATTTCACAGAAACAGAAAGATCCTTTTCTATACTTCATAGAAATCCCAACTCAAGTTACTGATCAGAATCCAATAGCAGGCAGAGCCAGGTGCCTTGTCGTCTACTTACACAACATGCAGGGTCTGGTACAGTGAGCAAACTAGCCTTAACTTCAAAATAGCTCAGTGGAAAGTAACACTTAAAACCATTAAAAAGAAAAAATTTTTAAAGAAAATGCTAAATAACTCCCAGTTGTTTAAGTCCCTAAGAAATCATTTGATTAATTTGTATACTGAAGTTTAGGCAGTTGTGATATAAAATTATCACAATTCTATTTGTACAATTACAATTTTTAAGAAATTATGTGCATTTTCAAATCTCTATCAGGCCATCCTCTCCACTCTCAAAAGTCTCAGGCTTACCTTATCTTTGGCCCACATAACTGTACTTCTTGCCTCTATTCTCTGTCCTCTTTAAATAACCCCTATATCAGATATCAAATTATTAATCTGGAAGTTCAGTCCTGAACATTTCCCTTCTTGGCTCAAAACTTCTTCACAGAGGCCTCCACTATCTGGCTCCAAAGCACTTCTAATTGTAGTTTTCATTGTGATCCTTCCCATACATACTTCCATATGTATTCCACAGCCAAATCATAGTAGTCTATTAATTTGAGAAAGACCTTGAAGAAGAAAAAAGAAGGGAGCCTAGAAAACAAACTGGTAGCTTCCTCTCCTGCCTCAATATAGAGACAAAGGCAGGGTGATAAAACTACCTAAAATGTTATTTTGTTAGGTAACTAGAGGCCGGGTGCACAAACTCGTGCATGGGTGGGGGTCCAGCCGGCCTGCCCTAATGGGGGTTGATCAGGCTAGGCTGGCAGGGGGGGGGTGGTGGGAGGTTGGCTGCTGGCCTGGAGGAAGAGGGGCCCCTGTGGGAGGTCAACTAGTGGGAGTGGCTGCAGGAGGTTGGGGGGGCCAGTTGGCCATCACAGTGTGACTCATAGCAAATGGTCATTCTGGCATCTAGTCACTTGGCTTTTATATATGTTCAGCAATATAAAGAACCTACTCTTGGAGATTGATATTCTTATCTCTCAATGTTGTAGGAGCTTGAGAGAGACAGGGATTGGCAGTAACTCACCAAGAAAATTAATTGGCCAACTCTATTTAATAAATACTTATCTATGTATCTTATAAATGAAAGAATTTCAGCATACCTTTTTCATAGTCAAACAACATGTAAGGTCATGATACACCACAGGAACAAAATCTTTTGAAAGATGTACATCAAATTCTACAAAGGCTGCACCCTGAGAGAAATAAAGGAAATAAGTATTTAAAAAATATTATGTCATACTACAAGAACATAAAAAATCTATTGTTCAATATAAAATCATACACTTGTATAAAAAAAATAAATAAATAAAAACTTTCGCATGAATTTAATGCTATACTTTAACCTTTATCTTAAAAGGTATTTTCTTCTCTTAAAACCATTATAAGTATTTTCCTTTTTCAATACCACAGCAATTTTTTCCTGGAATCAAAATAGGAAAGATCTTAATGAAATCCTCTCAAAAAGCAGATACCAGATACCCTGCAAGTTCTCTAACAGGGATCTTCATGTGTGTGTGTACCCTGACTAGGGTTCGAAACAACAACCTTGGCTTATTGGGAATATGCTCTAATCAACTGAGCTACCCGGCCAGGGCTAATTCCATTGTTTTCATCTCAATCTGCACCATAAATCTAAATATTAATACAATTGTCTACAGATGCTTCACTGTAGAAACATGTTCAGAAGACACATAAATACTCCCCCTTTTAACCTATTAATGCAGACTGGAGATTTCCCAGATCCACATTTATTTACTTTTCTACCTTTGGACCACAACAGTTCAAAGGTGTTAGAAGAAAGAGAGGTTCACTTACATGACTAGCAGCATTTCTTAAAGAAGCAATAGTATTTTCTTGAACTTTAGCAAGCCTAAAAGAGAATACATTGAAATATAGTTATCATATATTATAGAAAAGATTAAGAAAACAAATATAATGAAGAAGCCAACTATATATTCAACAATGGAAATAGTACTTATTCTCTACTTTGCGATTAATTTTGCCATCCCCAAAATAAGACTGTGACCATCACTTGGTTGGTGTGTGCATTTATTCCATAAATTATAACTGTTTACAAGCATATCCTATGCCAACCCAATTTCTCCAAGTGAAGTGGCCAATTAAGGAAAAGAACCCTTGCAATGGCATGAAGTAGTAGAGACACAGAAACTTGCTCTTTGTGATGAAGCCTCAGATGACTTAATACTGGCAGACAGGGGCAATGGGAAAAGGCTGACACACCAACAGGGTGGAAGTATGGAAAGTATATTAAGAACAGGTGAGGAAAAAGACCAAGATAGGACAACATGCCAAACGTTAGGAGCACAATACAGGCACACTGATGTCATCTGGCTGACTCATTCGGCATTAAGCTTTTCCTCCTAGCTTTCTAGTTTGTTATTTTAATAAAGTATAGTTGGTATACAATATTATATTAGTTTCAGATATACAACAGTGATTATATTTATGTCTTGTGAAATAATCATCACAATTAGTTATTATGATATTATTGATTCTTATTCCCTTTCCTGTACATTATCATCCCCCATGCTAATTCATTTTATAACTGAAAGTTTGTGCCTCTTATCACCCTTCACTTTTTTCATCCATCCCCTCACTCTCCTCCCCTGTGGGGGTTCTTACCTTCAATCATCAATTCAATAAAATATTAAAAAACACTTAACCAGAATCTTAGAAGAGAGTTAGTCTCTAATCTGAGCTGGAAATCCCAATTACATATCAAATTTAAATTTCAGGGTAAAAATAAAAGAATCATTTGACCTTTGGTCAGTCCAATTAATTTAACATTATCAAGTTTGAGCTACCGAATGCTGACACTGCTCAAATAAGCAACATACTTAGCAGTTGTTGTAGAATTCCCTGCACCTCGATGTCCAACATCCAATGGTGTTCTTGGCTTCCAATACTTGGAAAATGAAGATTTCATGTCACAACTGTATCCTGGTAATGGCTTAATAATTATATAGTCAACTTTTTCAGGGGGAAAAAAGGGGGGAGGGACAAAAATAAAGACAATTAAAAAAAAAAAAAGACCATGATGATATCAATTATATTTAAATACCATTCAAAATAGCTTTATCAATCTCTATCAAATAGGAAAGAAATCAACAAGTCAAAATTGATTCAAAGTAAAGTTTACAGAAAATTCAATAGATATATCCTGTTGTTATATTAATGTTCTAAGATAAATCATTAATTTAACCTGTAACATTTAAAAGTCAATTTGAAACTAATAAAAATTTTAATTTAACATATGCTTCTTTCTAAAGGCCCACTCTGCTTCTCCGGCTTACCTCTCACTTTGCCTATTGTTTTTCTGGAATTTCTGCTCATGATAGGAAGAGTGAGGACTCCAGCACTTTTCCCACTCTCTTCAATGGTGGATGATAAGAGACATGCTGTACCCACATGTCCAGGAAGAGTATCACCCTGAACTACATGTTCACCAAGATCTTCCTGAAAAAAGGAGGTTTAAAAAAATCTGAATTCTTATACTTTAATATTTTCCATTTAAAGATCAAAACTCCGCAGGTTGCGGGCACATCCCCAGTAGGGTATGTAAAGGAGGCAGCTGATTGATGTTTCTTTCTCATCGATGTTTCTAACTCTCTATCCCTCTCCCTTCCGCTCTGTAAAAAAAAACAAACAGTAAAAATATATTTTTTACAGTATTTTTAGTTATTTTTTGGGGGAAAATACTGTAAATTCCATCTAATGCAAAATAGCTAAAAGCCACTCACAAAAGCTATGTCTAAAGGGAATCATCAAATTAAACAATTCAAAGATTATAATTTTAATTACATACAACAAATGTTACTCATTGGGTTTAAATCCATTCTGAATTGTGCCATTTTCAAGAAATCATAGCTACTTACTACTGCTGTATAAGGCACATTCCCTACTCTCAAAGATTTAAACTTTAGAATAGTAAAAATGGGAGTGAAAGTGACAAAAAACAAGAATGAAGGGAAAGTGATACACATAACTACTGAGCCAGGCCCAATAAAGCAAGGACCTCAGGGGAGGGCTTGGTATTATTTATGGAAAGCATCTGAGCAGGAGTGAACTAAAGCTCCAGTGTAAGTGTCACAGAACCTCCAGAAATTTGGCAGCACAGACTCTGAACAACCTGGCAAAATTTTTATAGCAACTTTTTTTTAATTACGTATTTACAATATCAAATAAAGCTGCAAAAAAGTAATCATTGTTACAATAAATTCTTATAATAAAACTAGAGGCCAGGTGCATGAAAATTCATGCATTGGAAGGGGGGTCACCTCAGCCCAGCCTGCCCTCTCTGTCTGGGAACCCTCGGGGCAGGAGGTGACCTGGCAATCAGGGAAAGATGACGCCCAATCACACCCCTGCTGCTGCCACTGCTGGCAGCACAAGCCTCAACTGGCCCTGGTTACCTGAGCCTCGGGCAGCCCTGGGTGGCTGGGCAGCCACGATCTGAGGCTTGCCTGCACCTCAGGCAGGCCCTGAGCAGTTGGGGGTTGAGGGGACTGGGGGACTCTGGAGGCAGGCACCCAGAGCGGCCATGCTCCACTTCGCACGCCACCTTCGCAGGGCTAAAGGGACTGTGGGTGCCGCCATCTTTAAGGGTGGGGCAGTCAATTAGCATATTCCCTCCTTATTGGCTCTGGGTTCTGCCATCATTGAGGGCAGGACAGTCAGTTAGCATATTCCCTCCTTATTGACAGTGGACGCTGCCATCTTTGCGGTGGTGTGAAGGTCAATTAGCATATCCCCTTCTTTATTAGATAGGATGCCTCAATAAATCACACTTTGGTCATAAAAAGGGCTTAATCATGCTAGTTACATCAGGTTGCCCAACAGTTATACAGCCTACCTGTCTCTATTTATCCTTGGAGGCTCCTTTTGATGTATATCATTTATATTTAGAATAGACACAGACATGAAGACATCTGGTCTTGATTTGTAGCCAATTTTGCTGAAGTTCTCAATTATATTCTTAACTAGCGGCCCAGTGCATGAATTCGCACACAGGTAGGATCCCTCAACCTAACTGGTGATCAGGGCTGATTGGAGCCATCTAGCCCAAATCCTGAGCAGATCAGGGCTGGCTGGCCGGCCTGTGCTATCTGCCCCCTGGTGGTCAGTGTGCATCATAGCGACTGGTTGACCGGTCATTCGGTTGATGGGTCATAATGGTTGATTACACTTTCATATATACAGATAGTACTTGTGTCTGTCAACTCAAGTTTTTTAAGCCTGCTAAAATATATAGAAGATTAAGCATCTAAAATGCTGTATAAATCATAGGTTTATATAAATCAGACTATAAAATGAAAATATATGCAAAAATAAGTTCATGTCTGCATTCCTTCTCAACCATCTCAAGTTAAAGAATTACTCACCTCAAAAAAATCAAATATTAGTTCTAAATTATCTGGTTCCATTGTCTGTATGCTATACTCTGTCCAACGATCAGGTTGTAAGCCATATCCACATTCTGGCTGTGAATGCTTGCACTTGAACTCAGTGTCGCTTATTAAGGATATCTCCAGGGTATTGGACATTTTTTGAAGAAGAGTGGGAGACACCCTATCATCATCATCTTCCTCCAGACCCTCTAGTGTCAGCTTCACTCTAAACAAAAAGAAAAAATAATAAATTTCAAAAGGTAAACGCATAAAAATGTTATCTAAATGTTAATAATTTAGAAGTGCTCCCAGAATTTGAAAAATCTTCAAATAATAAAATACAAGGTGGAGCAAAAGTAGGTTTACAATTGTGAGTACATGAAAGTTTATTTTTGTATTACTTATTATTTTCCATACAGCGACTGTAAACCTACTTTTGCCCTACCCCGTATATTATACCAAGTCTATACACACTATAGGTTAAGGCATTAGCTATATTTTATAAAAATACTGGTATTTTAGCTCTAGTTAGTTTGGCTCAGGGGATAGAGCGCTGTCCTGTGTTTGATTCCAGTCAAGGGCACATGCCCCGATTTAGGGCTCAACCCTCCAATAGGGGGTGTGTAGGTGACAGCCAATCAATGATTCTCTCTCATCACTGATGTTTCTATTTTTCTCTCCCTCTCCTTTCCTCTCTGAAATCAATAAAAATATTTTTTTAAAAGCACTGATGTTTTAATCTACATATATTTCTGTAAAGTATAAAAATGAGACAAATGCTCATTAAGCCTAAGGCTGTTTCCATTAATTTTTTGGTTTTGAAAAAATGAATCTAAAAAGATATTTACAATTACCTTCCATCTATACCTGGCCATCTCAATTTCTTTTGAGAAGTCTCACAAATGGCTATGCATAAAACAAGCACAAAATTGAACCATATTCTGCTAGTGTGCATTACGACTGTTAGGAGTTGGAGATTATAAACTATTTCCCCCTTTCTTCTATCTTACCACAGTGAATCAGGGGTACTCTGTGAAAAGTATATTAAGGAAAAACACTCTATTAAGTACATATATTTGTCTGTATGTATCTTTTATGTGTGTTTATGTACTTTTTTAAACAAACAACAACAACATATAAATTAAGAGTCCAAAACTCTTATAGGCCTCAGAGCAATGAAAACAAAGACCAATTACCCAAGCCACATGGCCAACAGAGACTAATCTACTCCCGATAAAAGGCAATTACTAGCATGGAGCACTTGTAATGCCAAAAAGTACTCAATTTTAGAAAATACATGAATGTACCAACTGAAATGCACTTAAACAATTTTAATATTATTAATGTAGGAAGTAATGTTAATGTATACAGCAACGATTTTCAACATTTTTTATATCACAGCACACATAAACTAATTAATAAAATTATGCAGTATGCCAAAAACATTAAATTGTTTGCCAGTCTGAAAAAAATAGATATGATTTTGACTCATTCACACTGGACGACTATTGTTGTGTTGGCTATGGCTATTTCTTTTTTATTTGACAATATAAGAGAAAAGAGATGACTGTCCCTGACTAAACAGTCAGGTATTATATGTTTTTAAAATTCTGCAGCATCTGGTTGAAAAGCACTGGTAAGAGTAATAGCTAAGCTCTAAAAATGTTTTATTCTAGATTTTAAATGGGATCTGATTGATAATAAAAATAATGGAACTGTATCAGTGGGATCTGCTTTCTCTGCATGACCTCCTGTCTCCAACCCAACCACTGCTAAGCCTTATCACAAAGCCACATAATTCTAAATTCTTCTTGAGGGGACATCCATAGATTATTCAATTGGCAATACTGTACAAATCAAAAGTAGCACTTCAATAATAAAAAAAAAAAAAATCATCTCTTCTCATAAACCAAAGCTCTTAGGAATAATTCTGGACAACTGATTCTATTGGTGAACCTGAAAGAAGAAACATCCTCTATCAGCGCAATGAAAAGAGGCCACAAATGGCCAGTAATGAACAGACAAGAAAGGCACAGAGATAAAAAGGCTATTCTGTTATCAGTAATCTGCATCTATTATACTTTCCTCCTTCACCCCCAGAAAAGAAGAAAAGTGGTGTTTAAAGGGATCTATTTACATAGCTATTTGAACAATCCCTTTGTTAAAAGGGGTTGTTCAAATAGCTATGTAAATGTTATAGTCTATCATAAAGAGACATTGCTTTTGATTTACTGCTGGAGTCAATTGAAAGAAACTTGTGCCAAAACTGGTTTGGCTCAGTGGATAGAGCTTCAACCTGGGGACTGAAAGGTCTCAGGTTCTATTCCGGTCAAAGGCATGTACATTGGTTGCAGGCACATCCCCAGTAAGGGGTGTGCAGGAGGCAGCTTGTCCATGTTTCTCTCTCATTGATGTTTCTAGCTCTCTATTCCTCTCCCTTCCTCTCTGTGGAAAATCAATAAAATATATTAAAATAAATGAATGATAAATAAATAAATATTTCTATAAAAAAAGAGAAACTTGTGTTTAAAATTTCATAATAAAATAAAATAGCATGTTTATTGTTTTATTTAAGATGCATAAGCTGTTGCTAAATTTTTAGTCTTTATAACCTCGCAGGTAAAATTATTTAACATGAAGGTTTAATCTATCACTAATAGAAATTTTGGGGGAATAAAAATGGTCAGAACACCAGTTTTTATCTATACATGATTATTTCAACAGGAATCAGCCCAGCCGGCCTTGGTTCAGTAGTTGAGTGTTGATCTATGAACCAGGTGGTCACAGTTCAATTCCCAGCCAAGGCGTATGCCCAGGTTGCAGGCCCGATCCTGGTGTGGAATGTGCAGGAGGCAATCAATCAGTGATTCTTTCTCATCACTGATGTTTTTATCTTTCTCTCCCCCTCTCACCTTCCTCTCTGAATTCAATAAAAATATTTTTTTTTCATAGAAACCTAATACAGAGGATTTAGTCTAAGTCGTATTTTTTAACTTGCGTTTCTTAAGGCACTGTTTTATTTATGGAAATCCTATCTTTATATAATCATCTCTCTTTCTAACTACTCTCTCTAAATTTTGTCCAGTTTTCTATGTATGACACATTGTACCAATGCCAGAATATTACATTTTAATTTTCTTGAGAATGGATGATAATTAATCAACTTACAATTGCAATAAAAGTAGAAGCAGTTGAAATTAAAAAAAAAATTTTTTTTAAATATGAATCATTGCTAATTTGTAGAGCCCAACTAAGTATGGTTATATGAAATATTCCAACTTAAGCCTAAGCAACACTATAATATATACAAACACTCAAAATAATTTCTAGAAACAATAAGCGGTAATAGGAGGAGGGGAACATATGTAATAGTTTTAACAATAGAAATTTATATATTTTTAAAAACTGCAAGAGAACCAAGCACTTGGGAGACTAAAGAAAATGTAATTTTGAAAAAAATGTATAGAAAATAAGTTAACTTTTCATAGAAAAAAAAAATTTTTAAAAGAATGGTAAGGACTCAGTATATATTTGCAAAGCAATCAGAACCCCAACCATTAATATCTATGAATTTCTTAATAAATCCTATTAAGCCCAACAAACCAAGGGTTCTACTGGTACCTTTATTTCAAGGTCTGATGCTAATGAGACATTTTATAGTTGTTACACAATTTATTTTCTTCCTTTAACATCTAAATAAGATATTAAATTATATATGACTAACTGGTTAGAGAATCTTTGCAGTCAAATGGATTTGCAGATCAACAATGTGGTCCCATAACCTCCATTTTTTCTGAAGCAAAGCAGAAGCCTAGAAATGCAGAGACAAAGTACACCCAAAATCCTTTACTCACTCTTAGAAGAGCCAATGCAAATAACTATGAAGTATTATATACCTTTTCACCTATATATTGTATGATTGGGATAAGTTTTATAATATTTAAGCAGTTATGGTAGAACATTTATGAATTTTGAAACTATAGTATTATTATGAATTATATCCAAATGACATAGCTGCCTGGGTCACTAAGAAACCAGCTCGCTTATATATGTTGACATTATAGAAAAATATATAATAAAAGGCTAATATGCAAATAGACGAACAATGGAACAATCAGAACAATCAAACAACAGGTCTCTATGACGTGTGCTAACCACCAGAGGGTATGTGCGGAACATGGTGGGCCTCGTCCTTGGCAGGATGGTAGAACAGGTGAGCAGGGATGTCAAACCAAAACGGGGCACCAGTCCCTGTCATAGGGAGAGCCTCTGGTGGTTACTGAAAATTCTTTGCTCTCATGTACTGCGGACCCGCCTGGCCCTCATGGTGCTGCCTGCTGCCACCAGCCCCAATTGCACCCAAAGCTGATGCTGGTCCCAATCAGCAGGTGTGAGTGCTGGCTACTGGCGCTGATAGCTCCTGAGGGTTTCTCCACCTCCCCCTGTTCCTGAGGGGTGATCAGGGGCAGCAGACACCGCTCGCACCCACTGCTGGTGTCAGCCCCAATCACTCCACACCATCAGTAAGTGGGAGTGATGGTGGGAACAGAAGACAAGGGACCAGGGGCCTTGGAGGGAGGGGCTGGGCAGGGACATGGAGGATGAAGCAGAGACCTGCCCCGTGCCTACTATAGCCTCATGGCCCACAGTTCCTTTCAAGGTACACAAATTTGTGCAATGGGCCCCTAGTAGAAAAATGAAGTTACTCATTTAAGCATTCACATAAAACTTGACATCTATTTTTTAAATTATTATGTGATTAAAAAGAAATTAATATGGTACTGCTATGATAACAGCTACCTTTCTTCATGGAAAGGTTTTCATTTGTAAGCAACAGGAAAGTTTAAGGCACTGAAGGATATTTCCAACAATCATTTTTCTGTTTACCCTCATTTAGCACAAAATCATTTCTTTTATATCAATTTAAAACAAACAATTTATTGCTACACTAATAAATTTTAAATGGTATAAACCATACAGAAGTTTAAGCTTGGAAGTCATTTATTTACATAAAAACACAGTGTTCTAGTTTCAAATTTAGAGATTAACAATAACATAAGTACATGTAATTACAGCAATCTGAAACTGGGAAGCAGTTCACTCTCATAAGACCCTGTATTTAATAGAAAATGTGACATTAAAAGTGTGCTCTTTTTTAGTTTATACACTTAAAAGCCTAAAACCAGAAATCTATAGCATTAGTGAAAATAAGTAACAAATACACATGATCATACCTAAATCTAGATTTTTTAAATTTCTTCTTGGTTATAGAGACTGGAGGCTTTTCAGAATAATGCAAACGTAATCTTATTTCAGTCTGACATGTCAGCCATCCCGAATCCAAATTCTCAATACCATCTGGCAATTAAGTAGAAAGAAGCATAATTATTATACATATTTTTTTTAAAATTCAGTAAATACAATACACATGGACAATTCTAATTCACATTCAGATTTTAATACACTCAGGTTACGTCACTGGTACTTCTCTCCAAAGCAAATATATACAGTCTTAAATTTGTCATAAAAAAAGAACTTTTACATGAAGAGGGGGGAACAGTTAAATGAGTGTTAACAACAGCCATAATTTAACAATTTAAATAAATACAACTATTATAATTAAACCCATTATCGAAATAATACACATTCATTTCTGAAATGAATGTGTTTCAAGATGACTTCTAACCTACATTTGTTCCATTGGGAATTACTATTATACTTTCAAATATTTCACATGAGGTATTTATTCAGCTGAAACTAATTATACGACTAGTGCTAGGGACTGAAATATGAGATGGTAAAAATAAAACTGTGAGTCAATTCTATATTCTTACATTTATACATTCTGCCATAAATATCACAACTGTTATAATACTGTATTAGCAATGTTTAACTTGGAAGTTACCTACTAACATAGGTAACACATTTTTCAAAGTACTACTGAACTATCAACTGTTTTGGACTTAAGTTTTTCAATAGGAAATAGCATTAGTGAAAATAAATGGCCTAAGTAACAAATACACATATATTTATTTATATTTAATATGTTTTGTTACATATATTAAATATATATAAGTATGTGTATTTGTTATATAGACATTTATCTTTAGAAATATAACTTTAAAAATGTTTAGTAATTAGCAAATTTTATTTATTTATTTATTTATTTATTTTTTAAATATATTTTATTGATATTTTACAGAGAGGAAGGGAGAGATATAGAGAGCTAGAAACGTCGATGAGAGAGAAACATCGACCAGCTGCCTCTTGCACACTCCCTACTGGGGATGTGCCCGCAACCCAGGTACATGCCCTTGACCAGAATCGAACCTGGGACCTTTCAGTCCGCAGACCAACGCTCTACCACTGAGCCAAACCGGTTTTGGCATAATTAGCAAATTTTAAAAAAAGAAACCCTGGAGTGTGTGGGGAGAGGTCAACGAGGGGGAAAGGAGACATATATAATACTTTCAACAATAAAGAATTTAATTAAAATAAATATTTGGTTAGAAGTAAAAAATAAAAAGAAACCATCATTATTTCTTTTTTGCTTTTAATATATTTTATTGATTTTTTTCAGAGAGAAAGGTAGAGCGACAGAAACACTGATGAGAGAGAAACATGGACCAGCTGCCTCCTGCACACCCCCTACCGGGGATGTGCCCACAAACCAATGTACATGCCCTTGACTGGAATCGAACCTGGGACCCTTCAGTCCGCAGGCTGCCTCTCTATCCACTGAGCCAAACCGGTTTCAGCTATTTCTTAATTTTAAACTATTTCCAGGAAGAGACAAAGTTGGAAAAATGGCTTTCCATCCTAAAAGCTAATAGCACACTGTACACCATAAGCACCTGTAGATGCGAAGAGCGGACCTTCCTCACATGCCATGCACGTCTATTTAAAAAAAAAAAAAAAGTGCCAAAACCGGTTTGGCTCAGTGGATAGAACCTCGGCCTGCGGTCTGGAGGGTCCCAGGTTCGATTCCGGTTAAGGGCATATACCTTAGTTGGGACACATCCTCAGTAGGGGGTGTGCAAGAGGCAGCTGATCGATGATTCTCTCTCATCGATGTTTCTAACTCTATCTCTCTCTCCCTCTCTGTAAAAAATCAATAAAATATATTTAAAAAATAAAAATAAATAAATAAACTTAAAAAATGTTTTCCCTAAGTAGCAGCCCTGACCAACTTTAAAATCATTTTTCATGAGAATTTTCAGCTGAAAATGTTCAAGAACACCCAAATTGTAATATATTCATTTGTATAAAATCCATTGCAAATTGATTTTTTTTAAATTAAATTCAAAATATCGTGGCGTGTAGGGATGGTTTCCACTTTGGATGCATAGCAGTTAACTGGCTAAAGTTGAATTTAGAACAACAATAAAAATTTCAACTGTTTTGGTTATAACTATATATAACTACTGCTGGCCTTGGAGCAAGTAGGAGGCTTGGCTTTGCTCCAGGTTACAAAGTTTAATTGCTACATATGGTTATAATATAGTTATAACCATAACCATATGTAGTAATTAACAGATAACAGCTTAAAAAAATGAGAAAACTATCCTAATAAAAGAGTAATGTGCAAATTAACCACCACTCTGCTACACCAACCAGCCAATCAGAACAAGTATGCAAATTAACCCCCATAGATGGCTACAGACACAAAAAGCAGGAGAGAGGCTTGAGTTTCCCAGGCAATGGAAGAAGCCAAGCTTTCCGCCTGCCCTTGGTGGCCTAGGCCTCCACTCAAGGCTACAAAAGCTTCAACTGTAGAAAGTAAACAAATCCAAACAGAAATGGCTGCTGGCCACAGAGCAAGCAGGAGGCTTGGCTCTGCTCCAGGTTACAAAGTTTAATTGTAGAAGGTAAATAAATTCCAGATACCAGGGCCTCTGCTTGGGTCGCCGGGGGGTGTGGCTGGCCTGCAAACCACCAAAGGCCCCTCTCTCAGGGGGCTCCACGCCCCAAGGGAATGCCCACTTTGATCTAGGACACCCTTCAGGGCAAACCAGCTGGCCCCCACCCATGCACCAGGCCTCTATCCTATCTAATAAAAGAGTAATATGCAGATTGACCTTCACTCCAACACACAAGATTGCTGCCCCCAAGTGGTCAAAGATAGCTGCCCCCATGTGGACACAAGATAGCCACCACATGATGACCAGCAGGGAGGCACCAGGCCTGCAAGGGAGTGCAGTTGAGAGGGACCAGGACTGCAAGAAAGAGCAATTAGGGGTGACTAGGCCGGCAGAGGAGGGAAGTTAGGGTCAAATAGACTTGCAGGGGAGCAGTTAGATATCAATCAGGCTGGCATGGGAGTGGTTAGGGAATGATCAGGCTGGCAGGCAGAAGTGGTTAGGGACAAGCAGGAAAGCAGACAGGCAAGCAATTGGGAGTCAGCAGTCCTGGATTGTGAGAGGAAGCCAAGTTTAAATAAATAAGTTAAAAACTAAATTAAAATAAAATAAAATATATATTTATATTTATTTAAAAAAAAAAAAACTCTCCAACACATGTAACATAAATACCATCTTTTCTAAATAAAGAGGACAAGACTATAAAACACTAAAGCTATTCAAATATTTTAGACTACCTGATGATATAACATAAATAACCTCAAATAAAATCCAAATTCCTATCCAAACACTGCCAAGCATGTACATTTCTAAAGTGTATAAACACATGTCCCTATTAAACGACAACCAAAACATTCAAACCTGTTCCTTCCTGTTCTGAATAGGAAAGCAACTGGTTATCAGAAATTTATCTCTGGTTCAATCAGCAAAAGCACACATTCTGCCCACTCCTTTATTCAGTAAAGTATTTAAAAATGAAAATGCAATCAATTGCATTTAAGGAAAGATGATAAAATAAAAATGCAATTTAGCATAATGCTGATAATGCTAACACATTGTAAGAGTTCAAGTTGCTGAAAACTTGAATTCTCAAAAGTCTTTACTGAAACAGAATATACAAATGAATAACATTTTCAAAATATTCAGAGGTAAAAGGATTTTCTAATGTGCTAATTAAATGTTAAAGACTAAGTCAGAATTACTAGAATACTCTGCTTAATCTGGATTTTACCATAAATGCATATATAAACATACAAAATACACAAATTAGCCTGTGAATAACGTTTCACATCTTAAATGTTTAGAACTGCTAAACATAATACAGTTGGTTCTAAGAGGAAGGAAAGATCCATTCCTAAGTGCGATGTAATGCAATTTTCGCTGTATGTTGGAACCCACCTACATAAGCATCTATGTCACTCACATGGAGCACATACACAGCAGTAATGAAGTGAAACAGTAAATAAAAAAAAAATTAAAAAAAAATTAAAACAATTCCTGATCTTTACTTGTGGAAAATAAATAATAAAAAATATATAAAGCACTTATTATTTATGTACGTCAAAATGACGGAACTTCTTTTTTAATATAAATAAATGGGAGATAGCGACATAACCACGAAACGACATACATTGAGTTTGACGTAACCTAAGAACTGTCTGTAGTGTTAAAAGTGATATTATTAACTCATATAACTAAAATCACCTGTCAAAAAACTTAAAGCATAAGAATTATATAGGGGCCCGGCCAATGTACTTAGTGGTTGAGCATCAACCTATGAACTATGAGTTTATGGTTTGATTCCCAGACAAGGCATTTAATTCCCAGTTTTGCTCAATCCCCAATGGGGGGTGAGGGAACATGAAGAGGCAGCCAATCAATGATTTTTCTCATCAGTGATGTTTCTATTTTTCTCTTACTCTCTAAAATCAATAATAAATAAATAAATAAATAAATAAATAAATAAATAAATAAAAGAATTATACATGGTGGAGCAAAAAGTGTGTTTATAGTTTGTATTAAAAAATACAATAATTCTGCCGAAACCGGTTTGGCTCAATGGATAGAGCGTCGGCTTGGGGACTGAAGGGACCCAGGTTCGATTCTGGTCAAGGGCATGTACCTTGGTTGCGGGCATATCCCCAGTAGGAGGTGTGCAAGAGGCAGCTGATCGATGACTCTCTCTCATCGATGTTTCTAACTCTCTATCTCTCTCCCTTCCTCTCTGTACAAAATCAATAAAATATATTTAAAAAAAAAATACAATAATTCTATATAATAAAAGCCCAGTGACCGAATGATGGAAAGACCAGAGTGACCAATCAACCAGTCACCATAATGTGTACTGACCACCAAGGGGCAGTGTGCTACCACAGTGGGAGTGCTGCTTATCTGACTGGAATGAGCAGATGCTCCTGCTGCAAACCCTGGGCCAATAGGCAGGAACCCTGGCTGTGATTGTCACCTCCTTGCCCAGGCTCCTTCTCCTCGCACAGCTGACCCTGGAAGCTGGGAGGCGGATTTGTGGCCGCTGTGGGACTGAGGCCTACTCGGCCGCCTCTCAGTGCTATTGTCCCTAGGCTTAACCTCGACCCGGTTCCCTGGAGAGGCAAGTGCTATGGCTCCATAGAGGATGCTAGACCAGGGAGCAGCTGCTAAAAGGGTCCACAGTTGCTGGACTGACCGAGATGAGTGGTGCTCCCATAGCAAGCTGATCCCCACAAGCCACACCCCAACCCCACCAGTGCAATAATCCCATGCACCAGGCCTCTAGTCTGTCTATACTAATAAAAGGGTCATATGTTAATTAGAGTGGATGCCATCCAGTCAAAGCTACAGTGGCTATGAGGGCAGAAATCAGGCAGCCATGGCAACAGCAGCTGATGGGGACAGTGCCTCCTCTTGATAGGCTGGTCGCCTCCCACAGAAGACATCCCCTGAGGGTTCCCAGACTGTGAGAGAGGGCAGGCTGGACTGAGGGACACCTCACACCCCCGGTGCATGAATTTTCGTGTGCTAGGCCTTTAGTATATATACATATATATATATAAAAGGCTAAGTGTCCATATGACTGGTAACTATGGCGTGCACTGATTACCAGAGGGCAGGTGCTCAATGCAATAGCTGCAATGATATGCACTGGCCATTTAAAAGTAAATAGTACCAAGGAGCTGACATCAACAAATCAGCAATTGGTTTCCCCCAAGTGGGACACAGGCCCCACAACCACTCTGGAGTGACACCCCACCAAATCATAGTTAATGCTGCCTAAGACCCCATGGCACAAAATGCAACCCACAACCCAGCTCAGAAACGGTTGCTGTGTGCTTCAGGTAAATGACATCATGTATCAATGCCCTGCTTCCTCTCCCTAGTGACCAGCCTTCTTAGAGTTTCTTCAGCCTAGGAACCCAACTTGTTTTATAGCCAGGTGCAAACATTTTACAGTTAACCAAATGTTTTTATGCAGTTTCCCATGCCTTATCTCATTTGATCTTTACAGCAGTCCTGGAGTAGATAGACAGGAGACTAGGTAGAACCCTATTTTCTTTTCATTAGCAAGATGTGAACAGCGATATTAAAATACTTCTAAATTTTTTTGAGGTTGAAAGAAGAGGTGGTTTTGCTGTAAATTCTTAAGACACAAAAACAAGTTCAGAGAAAGAAGACAACTTGAATTTAACACAGACGCTAAAAATGTTCTTTTAAGATTATTCAAACTGTTTTTAAAAAAATTCAGACAGATCTACAGAAAACCCTGTCAACTGTGATCCTTGGTGGTGGTTTCACAATTTACAAGGAGGACATCATGTCCGAGACTGTCCTAGCAGTAAAAACCATGTGCAAGGGCCGTTCCTCTAGGTCCCAGTGCTATTTACCAAATGGTAGTCAGATGGCTTTCATTGAAGTGGAAACAACTGTTGCTGTTGTCCAGGGTGCAAAGGCAATTGAAGGGGTTAGGGTAAAGGCTGGGCTTACTTCGTGTCTAGTGACACTACACAAGGCTTCTTAGCCTCATCTGCCAGATGATGAGCCTCTGCATCCAGGTCTCAGGTGCAGGCTCCCCCTCCTTCCCCAAAGGGTTATAACCATCCCTGCGTAGAGGCTTCTGTCACTTGCTTGCCGTTTGTGGGGAGGCTGGATAAAGTAGAAGGCTTGCCGAGACCAGTTTGGCTCAGTGGACAGAGCATCAGCCTGCGGACTGAAGGGTCCCGGGTTCGATTCCAGTCAAAGGCATGTACCTTGGTTGCGGGCACATATCCAGTATGGGGTGTGCAGGAGGCTGCTGATCTATGTTGCTCTCTCATCGATGTTTCTAACTCTCTATCCCTCTCTCTCTTCCTCTCTGTAAAAATAAATAAAATATATTTCTTTAAAAATAAATAAATAAATAAATAAATAAATAAATAAATAAATAAATAAATAAAGTAGAAGGCTCTGGGCTGTCTTCTTCCTGGGGCTTCCAGGCATGGCCTCAGTAGCATTTCCCTCTTGCATGCTGTCCCACATTTCAATCTACCTTCTCCTTTTCTCTTAAGCTGTCGTAGTTTCTCCTTGTGCCTTTTCAATTGGGCACTTAATTCTTCCTGCATTTTCAGGCAAATGGCTGCTAAAGACTCCTGTCGTCTCACAGCATCATCGGGTTCCACACGAACTGCCACCCTGTCTGGCTGCCTCTACCTGGAAGCCCTCAGCCAAGTGGAGAGCTTCTGAAAGACTGCCAACAGGAGGATGCAACCAAAAACCATGTACCAGCCATAGACAGCCAGCAGGGAGCCCACAGTGACGTTCAGGAAGCACAGCCCCTCTTACTCCAGAGCCCGATGCAATGACAGCTGCTTCCTGACTCGCTCCTTGGCTGCCAGGTCGCGCTATGTCAGCTCTGCCTTCTGACTTCTGCCTTCCTGCCCCTACCTAATTTCCTTTCAATGTGCATGAATCCATGCACTGGGACGCTAGTTAATAAATCCTATATAATAAAGAGCTAATATACAAATGACCATCACACCCTTATGCCATAACAGCTCAGACTCTTAACAATGGGAGAGAGGAAGGGAGACCAGCCAGGCTGTGGCCCAGGAGAGGGACAAGCTGCCTGCCCTATGGTCCCAGGCACCTGCAGCTGCACCCTGGGCAAAACCACCCGCCCACGGTCTTGTGGCTGCAGCCAGCCTGGGTGAAGCTGGCCTGGGTTTTGGGTGCCTGCAGCCAGCTAGAGGGAGGGGAGCCCGAGTCCCGGGTGCCTGTGACCGGCCAGAGGGGGAATCCTGGGTCCTGGGTGCGGGATGAAGCAGAGGCAGTTAGGGGTGAGATTAACCCATCAGGGGAGCAGTTAGGGGTGATTAGGCCAGTAGGGAAGCAGTTAGGGGTGATCAGGCAGGCAAGTGAGCAGTTAGGAGCCAGCGGTCCCAGATTGTGAGAGGCAGTCGGACACCCCTTAAGGGACCCCCCTTCCCAATGCATGAATTTCATGCACTGGGCCTCCAGTAATAATATAAGAATAAACTCTGTGTTTCGCGTACAAACCTTCTGCCCGACCTGTACAGGAAATTATTATTTAAGAGAATGGCATTTGTTTCTTAGATTTAGCCTCTATTTCCAATATCATACTTCTGTCATATTTCCCTCTATCTGTTTCTAATGAATGTTATGTTACATCTCAACCATATCAGTAAAAAAAATTTAAAACTCAGTCTCACTTACTGTGGATTCCAAATTGTCCATCGTCAATAATAATTTCACTTTCTAGAATTAAAGGAAAATAGAAAACCTAGTTAAAATTCACGACGTATATGGACAAGTGAGAAATTACCCACCTTAAGCATTTTTAAAAATATGAAATTTTAAAGCAGCCCAAAGTGAATAAGCATATTTATTGTAGCCCTCAATAAAGAATTCCCTTTTAAGAAGGCTATCAAACAATCAGTTCTTACATACTTGTTGATTATTCACGATGTTACAAGGAAGAGAAAGAGGACTCCTCAGATGGTGCTCTAGAGGCACTGGGACAAACTTCACCCACAATTTGTGAGCCTGATAGATTGCTAGACAATAGTATCTCCTGGTTCACTTTTCAAACCAAAGGTCTTGGCACAATTAAAATGCTTATTCTTATTTAATGCATTTTCTGAACTTATCTAAAATGTAATTCTCCTCAAATCTCCACTATTCTCTCACCAGCTAAAAGCTTTATAAACAGCATAAACTTACCTGTATAATTAGAGCTGTGAGGAACTATCAAAAGAGTAAGTTCTAGCACATGCCCTTCTAACAGAAACTTCAGCTAAGTGAGATAAGCTACTAAACTCCACCCTCAGAATAACGTACTAATTCCCTGCTCTTTCCTTTCCTGTTTTGTTTACACATAGGTCTGAAATATTTGTCAAAATTAGTGTGATAGTTCCCAAGGAAGAGTCTCTGACAGATTTCATGGAGCTCTTAAGTTTAGAGCATCTATTTTTCAAAGATATAAATTTCTTTTTAAAAGATCAGAAACATAATATCCTACTTCTCACAATAATACAATATATTTAACTGCAAGATGCTTCAAAATGCAAATTATTTTAAACTACTAGGTAACTAATAATTTCCAACCTCAGTATAGAACTATTATAATTTTGAGATATACTATCAGAAAAATCCTAAATACAATATAAAAATGTATTAAAACATATAAAAAGAAAATCCAATAGAGGATGGAATGAGATAGCTGTTTAAACAAAATGTGTCTACTATGGGGTAAAGCAAATCTCTCACTACTTTCTAAGCTGGTAACTAGAAAGCCATTTATTATCTTTACATTCTAATTTTCCTTAAACACTAAAAGATGCATTTCTCAGCAATGAATCAATTTATAGATGAATCGGTAATTTAATGTATGTGAAATGAACTTCAAGTTTTAATCTTAGTAATGGAAAAGAAAATTTAAAAAATACTTGAAGAAAAATGCCTTTCTAGGCATAATAAGAAAACGGAATAATGTTTTTTACAAATTGATCTGAATATCAATTTTAACATAGCCAGCAACGTACTTAAATAAATCAAGAGGAAAACATGTCTGCTACAATAAAGAAAGTTGAATTTATTCATACAAATTTATTTAAGTATTTACTATTAAAAAAAAAAAAACACAGACTAAATAGAATAACTTGCTCTGTTCTCACTAAAGTTAAAAATGTAAGAATCTTTGTTTTTGCCCTGGCTGAGTAGCTTAGTTGGTTAGAGCATCATCTTGATATCCCAAGGTTTCAGGTTTGTTCCCTTGTCAGGGCAGGTACAAGAATCAACCAATGAATGCATAAATAAGCAGAACAATAAAAAATTTCTCTCTCTCTTCCCTTTTCTCTCTCCTTTCTTCTTTCTCTAAAAGAAAATTATCTAAACTATCTGAGCAAGCAATCAATAAAGCCATGGATGCTCAGCAAAGAAGAATGTTACTTTGTAAACTTGTTGCTACTCCAAATAAAAAGTCGACAATAAATTAATCTAACCCTTCAAAATAAAAATAATTAAGCATTTCTAATAGTTTATAGAGAAAGGCAATTAAGAACTATTTAGTTTTGAAAGTAAGATTCACGATATGCTAAGTGAAAATTGACCTTAAACTTTAGAATAAAAATTTATTAAATCCCACTAAGCCATTGTGCAGCATATTAGTAACTTATGCATATGCCTCAAACAGATGCAGTTAATGCCCATACCTAAAGGGGTTATTGATCGTGGTTGTAGATGAGTCTCCCACTTGTGAACTATGACTTGACATGGACCACCGATAGTCTGCAATTTAAAAGTTAAATGTCTGCAATAATTTCTTATATCTTATATTCTACCCATGACTCCATTAGATGTTTGCGGCCTAAATTAATACTACATATGAAACCAAAAGATTCATTTTGTTAATTATCAATATTATATGCCCCTAATCAGGAATGTACTAGGTCACAAATCATGATGAGTGCTGGAAGAAAATGGGGATGAGAGAGTAAACAAAGAAAAATTGAATGAACTGGTACAAAAAAATCTGCCTTAATTAAACCCATTCTTAAATCTGCAACCCAGGCATGTGCCTTTGACAATACTCAATTTTTTTCAAAGAAATTTTAATTTTTAACTGATATTCTGTTAAAGTTAACCATAAATATATTTTATGTTTGGTATATCAGCCCATCAATAGGGTGTTACTGGATAAAAGTATCTCATCTTAAGTAACTTTTGAGGTGTTTGGATAAAGCCTAAACTCTGACCACAGGAATAGTAGAAACAAGTACTTCAAGATCAACTATCACAAGTTACTCAAGAAATGTGAGGGCGTAATACAGTTCTTTACTATATACATTTAAGAATAGTAAGTAGATAACAGGAAGAACATCAGATCTCTATCACAGTAACCAATGTTTTTAAAGAGCACAGGAAACCCTAAAAGAAAGGAGATACACACCAGTAAATTTGAAGAACAAATTTGATAAAAGTGAAACTAACATCCAGTTTTACTTTTTATGCCTTTGGGTTTCTAAATTCATACAGTGTGATAACTCCTAATACTGTTCCCTATTATCAAGTTCTTTTACTAAGAAAACAAAACTTTATGTCAATAACATCTACACAAATTTTAAAATAAGAATGAACCTACCGATAAAGATTTCCGACATACAAGAGACTAACGTTTTAAATGCTTCCTTTTATTACTTTTAAAATGACTAATTAAATGCTTCCTTTTATTACTTTTAAAATGACTAATTAAACTTATGTGTCAAAGTTTAATACGTATTTTAAAAGCAAATTTTGACTATAACCTTTGTTTTCTAAAAAATGTAGTAAAATACAGGGATGCAAAAAGAAAAAGTCACCCATTATCACACCACTTAGGATTAATTACTACCAACTTTTTCATACATAATCCTCAAGCCGTTTCATAGGCATATATAAACATACTATTAAAAAGCCTGAAACATGTCAGCTTCTCTCTATATATTATACATCTTTAGGTGGCATTAAATACTCTCCTATAACATGTTATATGATTTCTATATTGAATATTTTTAAAAGTTGCCAAGTGATAACAAATAAGTAGGTAACAGATTAGGCACATTAGATAATTAAACACAAGAGATAATTCTGCCACTTAAAATAACCAGAGAGACTGGCTGGTGTGGCTCAGTGGCTGAGCCTCAACCTATGAACAAGGAGGTCACTTCTTAGATTCCCTGTCAGGGCACATGCCCAGGTTGCAAACTTGATCCCCAGAAGGTGGCAAGCAGGAGGCAGCCAATCAATGATTCTCTCATCTTTGATGTTTCGCTCTCCCTCTCCAAAATCAATAAAAATATATTTTTGCCCTAGCCAGTTTGGCTCAGTGGGTAGTCAGACTAAAGACCGCCAGATTTGATTCTGATCAAGGACACATGCCTGGGTTGCAGGTTCAATCCCCAGTAGGGGGTGTGCAGGAAGCAGCTGATCAATGATCATCTCTCATCATTGATGTTTCTATCTCTCCCTCTTCCTTCCTTTCTGAAATCAATAAAAATATTTTTAAATAATAAAATAAAAATATTTTTTTAAATAAAGTATAAAATACTTTTTTAAACTTGCAAACTTTTGGAATTTGAAAACGAAAGTAGCACTAGATACTCATTCAAATCACTTATTCTGGGATGATATGGAAAATACTCATTTTCTCTAGACAAATACCTGTTATAAGGTTTACTTATGAATTGGTAGACTGTGTAGATGTTTATAAAAAGGTAAATGTGAAACTTCTAATTTTAAAATATGAATTTAACTTCCTTAAAACTTAAAGGAGATGCATTTAATCCTACATTTCCTAGAATTTTTTTACTATAACTTTTTCCTGTTACATTTTTCCAGTTTTTTTAAACATCAAACTTTCTAATCTTCAAGAGATGCAAATTGCATACATTAAAAATAGGAATAATGTTTAATAAACAGCCAGAAAAAACCTACTCCTCCCATGTCCCCAACATACTCTAACCAAAAGAAAAAAAATTCCTCTTCACTAAAAGAGGGTATGAGTTTACAATCTTATAGAAGTTACTAATCAAACTTAAAGGGTGCCATGAATATATTAAATCTCAACAAGGATTAAAAAGTGGGTAGAGGTAGAGACCTCCTTGTTTGGCTCAGTGGAGAGCATCAGCCTAAGGACTGAAAGGTCCCAGGTCAAAGGCACATGCCTGGGTTGCAAGTTTGAACTACAGTGTGGGACATGCAGGATGAGGTGATCAATGATTTCTCTCTCCCTCTCCCTTCCTCTCTGAAATCCATAAAAAAATAAATAAATAAATAAAAGGAAGCGGATAGAGGGAAAAATATTCTTCTTTGTTTTAATTGATTTGTCAGGGAAACTTTACCATGCACATAAGAATAGCCCTGTTGATTAAGTATTTGATAGGGTATATATTTTAGTAGTAGTTTTAATTAACTCCACCCTCATGTTTTAGTTACAGCATAAATCAATTTGGGCTGGAACAAAATGGAGTATTTGAGGAGTAGTCCAAAGGGCCAATTCAACAGATGACTTACAATTGTGTCTACCAGCATTCGCACTACAAATCTGTGTTGTTTAGTACACAAAGTGTTGTAACATTGAAAGAAAAAAAAAAAAAAAAAGAAAGAACCAAGCTTTAAAACACCGTGAATTTCCAAAATTGTTATCACTACTTTATTAAACTTTAGAAGGTCATCTTAAATTTTAGCTTACTGAAGTTGTTTTAAATTTATTAAAAACCTGAGCATTGATATATTAAAAATCTCAATAGTGACTCCAAAACATGCAATCCTTTTTAAGGCTCTATTCCATAAAAAACAATCTTTAAGATCTTAGGAAAAAAAAGAAATCTTCCTCTCAGAAATCAATAAAAATATAATAAATAAAAGAACAGCTCCATTCTGTAAAAGGCTGCCACAATTTTAAACATTTTGGAGTTAAATGGAAGGTGTATCTTTGGAAAAAAAAAAAAAAAAGAACAGTATCAATTCAGGACAGTATTCCATTAGCAGTACTGGTAGAATTATTTCACAATTTAGCATATATTAAATTAGATGATTGCTGGAATGTTTTCAAGCATGCATACTAACAACAACAAAAACAACAAAAGACACCCCAAAACTATGTTTCCATATACACACACTTATTGATTGCTTCTCAAACAATTATTGACATCACTCAGCTACATCAAGCACTGAGAGATATTTAAAAGAATATCAAACATGTAGACTGAAATTTTTGTTTTAACAAATAATCAAACAAATTATCAAATACTCATGTAATAGCACTGCTTCTAACTATCATGAAAAATGTAAATGTGCACTTTTAAAATTTTGCTAATTGTTTTCTTGCAGTATTTTGGGGAAAATGTGCGTGTAAAAGGATCGCAAAGGATTTTTATCTATGCTGACTGAGGCCAGACCCCTCTGATCAATTTGACTCAGTGGATAGAGTATCAATCTTCGGACTCAAGAATCCCATATTTGATTCCAGTCAAGGGCACATGCTCAGGTTGTGAGCTTGATCCCCAGGAGGGGGCGGGCAGGAGGCAACTGATCAATAATTCTCTCTCATTATTGATGTTTCTCTCTCCCTCTCCCTTCCTCTCTGAAATCGATTAAAAAAAAAATTTTTTTTTAAATCAATAAAGCCCTGACTGGTTTGGCTCAGTGGATAGAGCGTCAGCCTGCGGACTGAAGGGTCAAGGGCATATACATCTTGGTTGTGGGCACATCCCCAGTAGGAAGTGTGTAGGAGCAGCTGATCGGTGTTTCTGTCTCATAGATGTTTCTTGCTCTCTATCCCTCTCCCGTCCTCTTGCGGGGTGGGGAGAGACGATGACGGGACACGACAATAAAATAATAATAAATATATATTTTTAAAAATCAATAAAAATAATTTAATGATAAAAAAAAAAGAAACCATTGTAAAAAGAAACCAAAATAACCCTGGGCTATTCTAAATGAAATTCAAGAGAAATTAAGAATAAAATAAAGTTTATAATTAATCTAATTACAAGTGAATGTTAACACCTATAAATATTAGAAATAGCCTTAAACTGGTTTGGCTCAGTGAATAGAGTCGGAATGTGGACTGGGGAGTCCTGGGTTACATTCTGGTCAAGGGCATGTATCTTGCTCGCGGGCACATCCCCAGTTAGAGGTGTGCAGAAGGCGACTGATTAATGTTTCTCTCTTATCTATGTTTCTCTCTATCCTTCTCCCTTCCTCTCTGTAAAAAAGTCAATAAAATATATTTTTTAAAAATTAGAAACAATATGTTATTGCAATAAAGGGCTACAAACTCTGAGATGAAGGAAATAGTTCAAAGACAATATAATTAAAAATTGGCTAATGTTTCTGCATGTAACTACAGAATTAACTACGCTAATTCTAGCCACAGTTAGAAGGGGTAAATATGGACTTAAAAATGTTTAAATTGCATGTTAACTCAAAAATTACTTTGGTGAGGATGTGAAATTAATGGACTATGCAGTCTCACACCAATGTTCCCATTGCAGGGATATCTACCTTGTTTTCTATGTTTACATAACTTAATATTTTGATTTATCACTTATAAAATTAAACATATTAATACTTTATTCTAATTCTATAAAGTATAAGAGAATATGTAGCTGTGAAAAATTAAGAGAAAAAGGACTGCAAGACTCAACTTCTAAACTAAAAGGAATATGCCAGAAGTAGCAAAACGTAAGAAAATATGGATGCCGAAACCGATCTGGCTCAGTGGTAGAGCATCGGTCTGCGGACTGAAAGGTACCGGGTTCGATTCCAGTCAGGGGCATGTACATTGGTTGCAGGCAAATCCCAGTGGGGGGTGTGCAAGAGGCAGCTGGTCAATGTTACTCTCTCATCGACGTTTCTAGCTCTCTATCTCTCTCCCCCTTCCTCTCTGTAAAAAATCAATAAAATATATATATAAAAAAAAGAAAATATGGATGGTGAAATTTTACATTATGTACAATAAAATAGTAGCAATGAAGGGGACCTAAGAAATTTATAGTTCAAACCCTACATTTAAAAGATGAGAGCTAAAGTCTAAAGGTCAAGTGATAAGATCACAAGATTTTAACTTGGGCTCTACAATTGCTTTAGACTACCTTCTAAAACTTTGGCCAGTAAAATTAGTCTTATTACCCATTTCAGCTTTTTTAATGCTTTCATAATTAATTTACTTTCCTTTTGTTCTTTATATTTATAATATATATTCCAATAATTTACATCATTGCATGATTTTAAGATTCCTTGTACATTAGTTTTATCATTTGATAATGCACAATTGAGTTTCATAATTACGTTGATTAAAAAGTAAGTTTCATTTAAAAAGCGCCACCAACTTACAAAAAAAGTGTCCTTTTAAGTTTGCATGTGGATTTTATGTAGGTATTTACTCTATTCCATGAAAAACATACTTACCATGGCAGCCCCTGCATCACACGGTACATGTGTACTCGATACAGAGCACCTACTTAAAGAAACACACTCACCAACACATACTGTAAACTTTTGCAAGTATTACAAGGGAAAAACTTGTTTCTTACTGTAAGCAGATTTCTTGCCAATTTTTTCAAAGGCATTTTGGACTGATTTGCTGCTTTTGGTTACATTTTCAATGAAGAGGAGAAATACTGTAGATTGGCTTAATTTAACCTGTGTTGACAATAGTCTTACTTTAGAAAACTATTACCAAAATATTCATTATGATTTTTCCTGTCCAAATGCCCCTTTAAGTAAAATGTAGTTGATTTCACATGTTACAAATTTCACATACCCGGATCCACAAATAAGCTTTCAATGAGTGCTGGGGATCTATGTGCATGCGTAATTGTTTAATATGTACTGAAGAACTATGTCATGATGCATAATCCCTATACTAAGAAATGTTCTTAAGTCATAAAGTGAGACTATTGTCAAGATAAGCCAACAAAATGATTAAACATAATGTAATTTAAGTTAAATTACTGAATATTTAAAATATATTCTCAGAATAAACGTAATAGGTGCAAAAGACAGCTGAAGTGGGTTTGTCAGTTTTCTTTTTTTATATTATGGTGGCTAAGAGAATAAGGTAACAGTGGCTGCTTGCATTTTTCATATGTAACAAGTATTCCATGACCTTAAACGGGAAGAAATTTTCTTAAAAGTTCTTAATCTATGTTTTGTGTCCTAGACTCCTGCCTAAGCCCTTGTTCACATGCAGCCCAAGTGTGCTCAAAGGTAAAACTCTGAAGGAAAGAATTCTTTCAGCAAATAAGTATCTTTTAAAAAGAGGAAAAGAATCCACTTTTTTTTCTAAATACAAAAACACTCCCAAAATAATAAATCATTTTGAGCAAGGAGATTTAGATTCAACATACTCCAAAGGCATTCAGGAAAGATCCTGGTCTGTCAACACCATTGTTGAAAAAATCTAAGAGAAATCACTTCATTTTTTTAAAAAGTTAAACAATGCAGCCAACTAAGAGACAGCTAATATGAAATAATTTTTTAAAATAATTATTCACTAAAAGCTGGCTATTTGTACTCTAAATGTACTTATACTATTTCACAATTAAAAAACAAGAAAAAACTTGTAACTGGTGATTAGTTTACAAAAGTTACAGAAAATGCATACCTACCTAACAAGAATATTTATTTATCATTAAAACCTATGTCATGATAACAATACTGCAACATACTTACTATTAGTCTTTTTAAAATTCCATTACAGGCATCGGCTATCTCTGAAGTGGCTACTTCTTTGCTTTTTGTACTAAAATGTTATTAACCTGTTAACTGAGCGGTACTTATAAATACGTCAAACGTAAACAATATCGGGAATGGATAGGACGTATGAATATGTCCTGGAAATATATGTTGCGCCCTGAGAGGGACGGTATATATTTTTTGTAATCTTTATAACTGTTTGTAAAATTTATAATTTTTTAATTCGATGTTTCCATTTTTTTGTTGGTATTCTTTTCTATTTTTTTGTAATTTTGTATTTTCCTTTGTGCTTTATATATAAATAAACGAAAAAAATATATATATATCATTTATTTTAATTAAGTATAAATAAAAAAAAGATAATAATATGAAATTACGTCCTCCGGGTGTGATGTACTGACACGTCCTAGTGAAAGAGTACGCGCCCATTATAGGTTGCGTAATTAAAAAGGGAACTCCCCGGTTAACAGGTTAATTTAGAGTTCTATTTTCTTTATTTGATCAATACAAACTTTTTTTACTTTTAATGTTTCCAAACTTATATTAGTTGCTTTTGAAAGAAGTCTGCTAAAAAAACTGGAAACTAGGTGAAGAAAACATACCTTTGGTTCTAAAAAGCACCCTTTGAAGTAGCGATACTGAATTGATTCTCCTCTACTGAGTACAATGGTTGCTTTCCAAAACATGCTGTGAGGGGGGGGAAAAATTAAAACAGCAGCATCAATACCAAGCTAAAATGCATAAAGATTTCATAATTCATAAAACCCCTCAAATAAGGTCTGCGACCCAAAGCACTTATTTTTTCCTACACAAAATTTACTCCAGGCCTAATCTATACCAACCACTGAAAACCACTGATGAAAGAGCCCCCCATCTTCAAGAAGATTGTTTTCTTGTGTGGGTAAACACCAAACAACATACTACACTGTAAGTGCTATTTGAAGTTTCTGATGTGACAGGAAGTGTTGGAGGAAGCTTTTGGATGGGAGATTTTAATGAGGAAGAACTGTGTTAGTTGAGACCTAAATGATGGGAAGAAACCAGCCATACAAAGAGCCAGGAGAAGTATTCTAAACAGAAAAAGCATGTAGTGCAGAGGTAAAAACCAGAGTCAGGCTTTCCTAGCTAGAGATGTTACATGGCTGCTATGAGGCTTTGGGGCCAAGGCCAGCAACTCATGTTCCCCATTGTTCCTTGTTCTAACTGTCCTGCCCAGCCTCTGGCTATCCTCCTAGCCAAGCAATCAGTATCTGTATCTTACTTGTTTCAACCTAATGTCCTCTTCTGAACTATGCTATTTTAAAATTCACTACAGTTCGTAATTAGAAGTGGTTTTTAGCTTCAAACCACAGACCAGCATAATCCAAAGTGTGGTTCCAAGGATGGTCAGTATCACCTAGGAGCTTATTATAAATGCAAATCCTCAGGCCGCACCTAGACCTATTAAATTAGAAACTCTGGGAGGAGGGCCCAATAATCTATAATTTAACTGATAACTCTGACAAACACTTAAGTTTGAGAGCCTCTGTCATAGACCATTACCCAAACATTAATTCCACCTGAACAGTTCAGTGAATAAACGACAGCTCCAAATGTTCTTCCATGGCACCAGATGGCTAGCACTGCTCCCCACCTGGCTCTTCTAAGACACGCTATAGGCATTATCCTCACTCTGACTCAATTGTAGTTCCCAAGAAATATCCACAGCCAGCTGTCACCTAATCTTAGCTTCAGCTATCAGAATAATCTGGTAGTTAAAAAATACATACATCCTGACTTTTTCCTAGGAATATCTGTTTTCATAGGTCTGGAGAAGAGCTTGATCATATGAATTTGATAAAATCTCATAGGGCACTGGATATATGGCTGGTTGAGAATCACTGCTCTAAAGCAAGGATAGCAAATTACTTTTCCCTGATAGGCTCAGAATCATTTTCAACACAGGACTCCAAGCAAATTCTACCAACTATAAGTTGAAGTTTATTTTCCATCTCTGCTACCAAAAGAGAGAGAGAGAGAGAGAGAGAGAGAGAGAGAGAGAGAGAGAGAGAGAGAGAGAGACACAGACACAGACACAGACACACACAGACACACACACACACACACACACACACACACACACACACACACACACGGGGGAGGGGGGACTGGCAAATTTCCAGTACTGTTTCATCCATAAAACAGTAAGCTTAACTCCAGATGTGAACACTAGAACTGGTGGGAAGCTTTGAAAAATATACTGGGGCCCCCTCTCTAATGCATTATTTCTCAATATCCAGAAATAAGGTCTAGGGATATCTATATCTATATCTATCTTTTTAAAGAATAGTTTATTTTTAGAAAGAGAGGAAGAAAAAGGGAGGGAGAGAGACACTAATGTGAGAGTAAAACATGGATTGGCTACCTTCTCCATGCCCTCTACCAGGGATAAAGCTCAAGACCCAGACATGTGCCTTAAGCAGGAATCAGTCTAGCAACCTTTTGGTGCAGGGGATGATAGCCAACCAACTGAGTCACACTGGCCAGGATTAGGTAGGTGTATTTTTTTAAAGCCCTCGGAAGTTATTTTAAGGTGTACTCCTGATTAGCAACCACTAAATAAAGAAAAGAGATGAAAAGCAAAGCAATTAAGTCTTTTTCACTCTAGTTCTCCAAGAAAATGTAGCAAAGTTAAAAATGAACTAGCACTACTCAGTGAGGGCAAGAATGAACATAACATGATGAAATTAAAAATAAACCAGGCAAGAGGGGCAATGAGGTGTAGTGCACCTGCCTGATTTTAAATTGTCCTCAAATCCTTCCCCAAAATCTTCAAGGAGAGCAAGTAAAATCAAAGTGACTCACATTTTCTGCATTGTTAGGAAACAATGCCAAGACCTTCAAAATAACTGAATGTAGAAAGAAAAACCCAACAGAGCTCTTGTCACCACAAGCCTGTAGGTATGAAGAGGCTTAAGAGACTCTGTGAAAAGGGGGTACAGAACACTTAGATGTGAAGACCACCTATGCTATATTATCTTCTTGTATAATTTTGTATTATCTACTTCATTTCTGCTGTGAAGCTCTGTTTATCTGCTATATATGAATCAATATATTTCAGTGTATGCCAACAACGTGAAAAATGGCTGGTCTCATAAGTTTAAGTTGTTAGTTGTTACCTCACTTTATTCACATCACTTTGATGAGGCTGGATGAAATTGACTTAAGATAGGTGCCGGGGAAGCTCAAAAGTTCAGAGAAGAGGGGTATTTTAGGAACAGTTCAGAAAAATACAGGACTCACTTGATAGAACTAGCTGATTCGAAAAATCAAGGAAAAAATAGACACTTGAAAGACTCAACATCCCATTCCTCTGTGATTCCAATATCATTTCTCAATGGAACTTTACTTGTGCTAAGAAAATGTGTATGTACCCCAATTACTAGGTTCAGAATTAGAATGACAAATAGACAAGGATGTTCTATATATTTTTATGTTCTTCTTTTCCTTAGCTTACATTAGGGTATTGTTTTATTTTCCTTTGCTTTGCCATCAATGCTTCTCAAGCCATTTGCTTCAAAGGCCGTTTTTATTTGCTCGTTTGTTTTACCCAAACTGTCCTGCAACAGTACCCATTCAACAAGGTGTGTCCATGGTGATATGCATGGATGCCCTAGCATGTCAAACTGCTATAAACATTTCCAAATGCTTGCTCTCAATGTGTGTATTTCTCACATCATGCACTGATTTAAAAAAAAAAAAAAGTTTTTGTCTAGCACTAGTCCACAGGCCCCATTTACTCCATAGGAAAACAGAATTTGAGCTTCATAATCACCAAATTTGGTATTTCTCCCTATGGGTATTGCATGTATTTATATGCTATTTAGAATCTTATCCCTCCTTACCACTACCCTACCCCCCAACACACACACACACAACTCATAACATTTCCAAATATTCCCAAGTAGAGAAGAACCATCTTTGTTGACATTCACTGATTCTATCCTAACCCCTTTACTGTGTAAATGAGGTAACCGAGACCTAGAGATATTAGATGTGCCCAAGACCAGTTAACTGCAGAACTGAAACCGACACAGATCTACCTTTCCTAGCCCAATGCACCAATACATCCATGCTAAGTTTAGTGCTGTATTTAATGTTCATAGTGAACTCATTTCATTATATTAGCTAAACTAACTAAACAAGTATGTATTCTATTCTGTTACTTTTAGTTAATACTATACACATCTGAGAAAAAAGTTACTTTAGAGCAAAAATTAAATCTTTTATCAAGAATATGTACTGAGATACCAAAAGATGCTCCCTAAAAGTTAAAAAAGAAAAAAAAATAACAATATAACTCTATTATTTATAAATGTGGTGGTATCTGAAAAACTAACCAAGAGTTGAAAATGGTTGAGAGGTAGAAATGGAGGAAAATGAATTTTTTCCTCACAGTAAACTTTGTAATACCCTAATGTAAACTTTGTAAAGCTATTTCACTCTTTATCATCTATGTACATGTGATAACTTTGATAAAAATTAAAATTAAAAGAAGAAAAACAGACCAAGCCATCTTAGATGGACCCCAATTTATAATCTGAATATTACAATTATTCTGTAACCTGACATTTTGATGCTTACCTTTCACCCGTCTCATTCTCTGGAAGGAGAGCCACAGCATTTTGAGGATTCCAGTTTCCCAAAGCATCACAGCTTCCACATATAGCAAAAACTTCTCCTAAAGAAACAGAACACCAGTTACAGTGGCATAAATAGAAAAGTTTCCACTTTTAGTTCTAAAGATCAGTCAGTTGTATTAGTTTGACCGGATGCAGAGTACCCTTTAGCAAAGATGGAGGACACTCACTGGAAACGTGGGTTTAGACTCAGGTATTACACAAGCATCTGCATTCCTAACTTGACCTACCTTTACATACCCAAAGCCAGAGAAAAGAGGGATGTGGAGGAATGAACTTTCATTTGTTCAACTATTTATTGAGCTAATAAAAAGCACCAAGATGACTAAGTAATCAAACCAAGTTCCTGCCCTCTAGGCAACTTCCAGTTTAAAGGAGCAATCGCTAACTGCAGACAAGTATTCTAAAGAGATAATCATTTATATTTCCTGAAATTCAAACAGTAGCTATTAACAAGTTAAAGATCAAGAAAATTATCAATGGGACAGAAGCAATGTAACAACAATAAATATCCTAAAAAAAAAAAAAAATTAGACATTGAAAAATCTAATACACCTTATAAAAATAATGACTTTCATCAGAACACTTCTCATCAATAGACAAACCAACATATAGTTATTTATATTTGCTAAATTTCACTTATTTAGCAAAGGTCTAAACCTTCTGCAAGGCGGATGTGGTTCAGTTGCTGCACATCGACTTATAAACCAGGAGGTCACAGTTTGATTCCCCGTCAAAGCACATGCCCAGATTTCGAGCTCTGTCCCCAGTAGGGGGCATGCAGAAGGCAGGTGATCAATAATTCTCTCATCAGTGATGTATTTATCGCTCTCCCTCTCTCTTTCTCTCTGAAATCCATAATATATATATATTTAAAAGTCTACCACCTTTCTGGATACAAACACACGGAAGTCTTTGACTTATATCAACACTTTCTGAATTAATATAATTAAAATTCATAAAGAAAAATATAATGAACTGAACCCAAATGTTAGAGGTCAAGACAAATTTCTCCACATTCTAATAGCTAGGTTTCTAGCTTTAGGCACTACTCTGGAAAAACTAGAATTACAGTTGGTTTAGCCACCAGCACGAGCATTTTGTAAGCTTGGGCTATAAAACTTAACTAAAATTATAGGTATGAGGGTCTTTCAGGAGTTTTCAGAGTTCTAAATACACATGTTTTGTAAAGCACAGGGTGATTGAGTATGTCAAAATATTTGAAATACTTAAATCCTCTAAAGTAATCAGATTTCTTATAATAAATTTATGTTATCATACCTTCCCTGATTTTTATTCTTTAAAGGATAAATAGGGACCTTAATCTAGTTGAAAGTATGGGAGATTACAGTAAAGAGAGGTAAGTGGGGCACAGCACAGATCTAGAGGAAATAATTTTAGAAAATCCCAATGGTTCTAGAGAAGAAATGCAACAGATTTGAGGAACTGACTAGTATAGCCAGAGTATATTAAACAAGGATGTATATAACCCAGGTACATGCTATCTTACATAAAAATTATTTCACACTGCTTAAGTAGATAGCAAAAAAATACAATGAAGCTAAAAATAAAAAAAAACTTATAAATTGGGAACAAAGTTATATTACACAAATATTTTTCCAATTTCTTGCACTAGCAAAATTTCCCTTGTTTTTATGCTATTTAAAAATCATAGCCCGATTATCTTTGTCATATGCAAAATTAAATCACAGCTTTCTTTGAAAATAAGAGTTTTTTGTTTGTTTTTCCCTGCGTTTACTATGCTCCAAGCACATAAGTATCAGGCAAGCCATAAAGATATTTTCATCTAACAACAGCTCCATATTTAAGATAAACCAGATAAGGAAAATGCTCATTTACAATACCTGGAAACAGAGTTCCTCTTATTTCAAAGGTAACCTGAGAAGGTGTCATTCTGATGGATTTATTTGAGGATGTCGGGCTAGGAAGAAAAAGAGAAGATGTCATTTATAATATATGGAAATATTAGCTCTAGACATCTATACAAAAACAAAAATAAATTTTAACTTGTTAGCAAAAGACTTCACAGACTTTATATAGAGACTGAATTACTTAGGAAATACCTAGCAAGTTTTAGGGACTGTAATGTTACAGACCTGTTCCATAAGAATATATGGACCATAAAAATTGCAAAGCAATTGGGGGGGGGGCGGGGATAAATACAGAGGCAAAGAAGCATTGAACTGTTGCCAAAGTACAGTGGGAAGGCAGGGGAGGTTTGGCGGAGGGGGCTTAAGAGATCAATTGTACGCATGCATATAAGCATAACCAATAGAGACACTGTGGGGGTGGGGGAGGAGTTAAATGGGGGGGAAATAAGGAGACATATGTACCACTATTTGTAATACTTCAAACAATAAAAAAATATAAATAAATAAAATAAAATGGCCACATGGCCAGAATTGAGCCTATATATATTAAATGCAAAAAAAAATTGCAAAGCAAATGTGACCTTCCCCCCATTTTTTTTTTTTTTTTTAAAGGATGCAGATTCTCCTGTCACATACTTTCTCTTCTGATAAGCAGCTGTTCTAAATTCAACCTATCTTTCCTGGCCAGGCCCATGTTATGGTGGAAGGAAAAAATGATAGAAAAAAAGAGAGGCTCAAGAGAGGATTTATACCTTATCAGAAAGATTTTAACGTTAGTAAAAAGAAAACAACCAAAAAAAACCCCCAAAATATTACCCACTAAACAAACTATTCATGTTCTACAACAAGTTTGAGAATGTGCTTCTCGTAACTAACGACAAACAACCAAACACCTTCCCCTACAAGTCACTCTTCAGATTTTCTTTATTATCCTTAGGACCATCAAGTCCAGTTCTGCTGCAGACTTAAATTTAGAGTATCAACTTTGCAATTTATTACCAAACCCTGTATTTATATGCTTTTCTTTCTAAAGTTTGAATTTCAGCCGAAACGGGTTTGGCTGTGGTAGAGCGTCGGTCTGCAGACTGAAAGGTCCTGGGTTCGAGGGCATGTACCTTGGTTGCGGGCACATCCCCGATAGGGGGTGTGCAAGAGGCAGCTGGTCGATGTGACTCTCTCATCGACATTTCTAGCTCTCTATCTCTCTCCCTTCCTCTCTGTAAAAAATCAATAAAATATATTTTAAAAAAAAAAAGTAGTGATAGCTGGCATCTTTCTTTAAAAAAATAAAGTTTGAACTTCATTCATAATCCTAATTCTCCTATCAGTATTTTAGCTTCTAAATCTCAAAATTCTTGGAATCACTTTGATTATTTATAGAAATCTAAACCCCTAAGCCTTTGATGTTTTTAATCACTTATCCACATTTTTTTCTCTCTCTGAATTTTCACTTCTTTGCTATTTCTCCCAGCCAAATCAATCTGTTTACCATCCTCTAATTTAAGTACCTGAGGGATGACAGGAAATAGGGTTCTTTTTAAATATATGTCAATTCTCAAGAAGGTTATAGAATTTAAATATAGAAAGAATATGCCTTAGCCGGATGGCTCAGTTGGTTGGAGTCTTGTCCCATACACTACAAGACTGCAAGTTCGATTCCCAGTCAGGGCATATACCTAAGTCCTAAAGAACCTTTCATAGACATTCATTCTTCTATTTCCCCTTTGTTTTCCCTTGGCTCCCTGTGAACACAAGCACTACTCTAAAATGGTTATTTAATAAATACTGCTATGACACTTCTAAGACAAGGCAGTGTGATATCGATCTATAGTAGTGATTCTTACTGGAGGCTTTTTTTTTTTTTTAATTTTTATGAAGTGAATATACAGCTCATTTTTAAATTTTTCAATTATAGCCAACATTCATTATATTCATTTCAGGTGTACAGCCTAGTGGTTAGATATTAATATAACTTATGAAGTAATCCCTCTGATTGATAAGTCTAGTACCTGCCTGTTACCATATAGTTATCACAATTGACTACATTCCCTATGCTGTTTCTGTGACTGTTTTGTGACTACCAATTTGTATTTCTTAATCCCTTCACTTTTTTCATCACCCTCCAATTCCCCTCTCACCTGGCAACTATAAGTCTGCTCGCACTTGGAGGCAATTTTGCCCTCCAAATGTCGAGAGACATTTATGGTACCAAAATCAATCCGGGGAGATGTTCCTGGCGTCTAGTGGGTAGAGGCCAGGAGAGCTACTAAACACCATAGAATACACACAGAACAGCTCTCCACATATAACTGTCCAACTCCAAATATCAACAGGGCTGAGATTGAGAAACCTGATCTCTAATTTGTATCTTCAGGGGGCAGCTATGGAGATCAAGAGTGGAGGCTCACAATAGCTGTATGGCTTAAGTTTGTTGGAGCAATGTCCTACAGCAGCAGGTTGGAGCTCCAGTCAGGGCACATATAAGAATCAACCAATGAATGCTATATACATAAGTGGAATAACAAGTGCATCTCTCCCTTCAAAAAAAAAATCAATAAATTTAAAAAATTTTTTTTAAAGAGTCCAGGCTGATTGTTAGCTATAAACTATATATCACCCCATTTACATAAATCATAAAATGTAAATGTTGAATATGTATAAACAGGACCATCAGTCAATGTGTTTTCAAGTTATACTTGGATAAAGACTTTCCTATTTAGCAACTTGACCGTTTATTTAGAAAACCCAAGACTCTGCACTGGAGAAAAATCTGTCCTTGATCAAAATAGTTTCTAAAATATCTAATCTAGGCTGGCTGATTTGGCTCAGTGGATAGAGCCTGTGGACTGAAGGGTCCCAGGTTCGATTCCGGCAAAGGGCACATGCCTGGGGTTGCCAACTCGATCCCCCAGTGGGGAGAGTGCGGGTGGCAGCCGATCGATGATTCTCTCTCATCATTGATGTTTCTATTTCTCTCTCCACTCTCGCTTCCTCTCTGAAATCAATAAAAAATATTTAAAAATATCTAATCTTTTTGTTGTTGTTAATCTTTACCCGAGGCTATTTCCAGTGTCTTGTGTTTTTTTTTTAGAGAGTGGGAGAGAGAAGGAAAGACAAGAGAAAAACTGGTTGCCTCCTGCGAGTTCCCAGGGCCCTAATCTACTAGTACTTTCTAAGAGTAAATATGATCTATTTAAAGCACATAGATTCAGTTCTAGCACTGCTGAAGAATATCCTCAATCTAAAAATACCTTGATTGTTAACCTCTCCAAATAACCTATTATTATCCAAAATCTTAATAGTAGTTCTCTTTTGCCCTAGCTGATTTGGCTCAATGGATAGAATTATCAGCCTGCAGTCTGAAGGGCCCATGGTTCAATTCAGGTCAAGAGCAAATGCGAGAGTTATGAGCTCACTTCCCAGTAGGGGGAGTGCAGGAGCAGCCAATCAATGGCTCTCTCATCAATGATGTTTCTCTCTCCCTCTCCTTTTCTCTCTGAAATCAAGAAAATATATTAAAAAACATATATTAAAAAATTCTCTTTTAACATGACATTTGATATGAATCTGAGTACAAATATTTCCTTTTCTAATTAATAAAATGGCTTATTGAAGCATTGCAATCTTCCATTTAAATTTATATAAAAAAGAAACCTTAAGGCTAGCAAAAAAGCTCAAATTTTATTATTGAATTAATTTTGAGACATAGCAAAAGCTTCATTATCTAGCAAAACTACTGAGTAAACAACCTCAACCTCAACATACTTTCACCCAGTGTTTACTACCACAGTTCTTAACTAAGAGACTTCTCCACATAATTATAGTGCACAGTTATTCAAAATTGATCAACTAATAGGTGAATACTATTTTAACCAATTTTAGGAAAATCAGATATAATTATTCCCATGCATTAAATTTAACAACTGATACAAAATTATCTCTAGATCTCTACTGCATTAAATGAGAAAATTATCTAAATTTAATTTAATAAAAGGGAAATCAATTGGTCAATTAAAATTGAGTCTCTTGTTCTTAAGGTTGTTTTTAAGAATGACTATAGTAACTTGGCTGGACACAGCTGCAGTAAATGTACTATAAAAACACAAAGATAACCCCATAAAACTTCCTCAAATGTCAAAAAAGCATCAACTTCCATTTATATTGCCAAAAGTTTAATTTCCACCCCATCTCCCCAGTTTAATACCATACTAATAAAAGCTAGGAGCTGCTGCTACAGCAGTTTACTTGCTTGTGGACAGAAGCCAAAATTCTGGTGCAGGATTGGAGCACCCAAGCACCAGCTATCACAAAAACAGTGGTGACTAAGTAAAATACTGGTCTGTGGTGAAAACAAAATTTACACACCCAATAACACTTCCTCTTCATCAAAACAAAACAAAAAAACCTTGAACAGGAGGAAGTCTTCCAAATATACATAAAATAAGATGAAAAATGCACATACATGAGCTGTGTATGTAATGTTATATATCATTTAATCAACTCACCTATCATTCTTTTATAGACTGTGCTTCCTGACAAGGTTTTTGGTTTTTAAATATATCCTCCATTTCGTGCTTTTAGATAAATATTAAACAGCATTCTTACCTGAGATTTTGAGTAGCATTTAACACTACTTTAATATTTTTTAAAGACTCAAGCCAACTAGCAAAATATGAGTTGCAACTTACATTTTAAAATATTTGAGTTTACACTGCCTCGCAAAATAAATGTTACTCTCTACTTTTAGTCAAAGAAACTACTCCAATCTGTGACCTTACTAGTTTACCAGCTTAGGGGACAAAAAGGAGATTTAAGCAAACCAAGGTATAAGAACATTTTAACTTAGAACTAAATTAAAGAATATTTTTAGCTAAAGCATGTTTCTCTGGCCAAAAAGAACATCTCTCACTGTTTTTCCTTTCCCCCAATTTTTTTTTTCTTCAAAGAAAAAGCTGTTTCCGATTCTCTTTGCTCTTTCCTAAACACCAACAGCTTTGAGTATCATAACTGCCTGTCAGAAAG